AGAGAGAGAGAGGGAGAAAGAGAGAGAGGGGAGAGGGAGAGAGGGGAGAGAGAAGAGGGAGGAGAGGGGAGAAAGGAGGGGGAGAGAGAGGGAGAGAGGGTGAGGGAGAGAGAGAGAGGAGAGAGAGAGAGGAGAGAGAGAGAGGAGAGAGAGAGAGAGAGAGAGAGAGAGAGAGAGAGAGAGAGAGAGAGAGAGAGAGAGAGAGAGAGAGAGAGAGAGAGAGAGAGAGAGAGAGAGATTGCGGCGCAGAGTACGCCACATTACGCCATCGTGGCTGGTCAACTGGCGCTCGGGCGACGTCTGTATGCTCGCCTCGTCTGTCCGTATCGTCCCCTCCATCGGTCGGACCTGTCCACACCCCGTGGCGCCTCCTGAGACCGGGCTGGCGAGCGCCGTACACTGTCGCCGCCGCCCCGCCGCCGCCTCCCGTGCTGTGACGCAAAACGGCGCCGCCGGGGAGCGGCGACCGTGCGTCCGATGAGGGACGATACGCGTCGGCCCCAGCTGGCCCTGACCCGACCGGTGGTTCGGCCGACGCGCCAGGTCCGAGAAGTGCTCGCCCCACCAGCGGGGGGAGGGAGCCGTCGACGGCGCGGGGATGAGCTCGCCCCACCAGCGGGGTGGGGGAACTGTCGACAGCGCGGGGATGCGGTCTGCCCCACCAGCGGGGTGCGGGAGCCATTGAAGGTGCGATCAGTACCGACGGCGGCCGCCCAGGGAGCGTCATGAGACAGATATGGAGTTTGTTGGATGGTGTGTCGCTGTAAACCTGTTTCCGGGATGGTGCAGGTCCGAGTACTTACTTTTGAAATGAGGGAATGTATCTAGACTAGAGACGCAACTTTCTGTCAAAACATCAGCCTACAGCCCAGCCCACCCCGCCTATAAAGGGATCCAGCCCACAAAAGCCCGCGATGATGCAACGCTGATCCACCGTCTACCGGTAAGTGCCAAGTTATTGGAGCATGCGCTTTATCATTTCACCTTAATTTTATTGACCAATGCATTAAAGGGCACACTAGAAAGCATGTGTAGACTTGTAAAATACTTAACATTGTTTGAATGATACCAATGATGCTACTCAGAGAGCAGCAATCAAAGCACCTGCATAATGGAATTTATATTACACCGAAGTCGTTCTTAAACACTGGGAAAACAGTTTCCAACTACAAATGGAAATGATAACAATGAAAATTAAATCCTAGCTCAGCTCAAAAGACCACAGACAATTTCTTTAAAATTGCATGCCCCAACTTAAGGCTTTGCACTGACAGTGTAGAAAATGCTGAATGCCTCAAACCATGAGAAGTGTCAGTTCTTTACAATGTGCGTGGGCTTAACTATCATCTGGCTGCGTTACAATTGCCACAATGTCACATTCCCAATGAACAACTATAGCCAGCCTCCTATATTGTGTTTGATGTCCTTAAGTAGATACTTCATGTGATGACACCACAAACAAAAGCATGTGTTAGCTTTGAACTAAACTACATTGATCTCATGCCGGCAGCCACGTCTCATCCCAGGACCACCTCGCGTTTCGTGTAATTGGGCTGTCAAAGCAAGGAAAGCCATTATATTTTGCACACGAATATTTTCACCCTCAGCGACATCATTGACTATTCGTAATGTCATCGAAAATCAGGACATTTTGTTACGTTTGCAGAAAAACTTATATGCAAACCAGCAAAAAGTGGACAAAAAATTAGGAGCTCTTTCAGTGGATACTCAGAGCTTGCAGACTGTAACTTTCGATCTGTATCGAACGTTTCATTGACGTCATATGTTGAAATATTTTTAGACAGGCCTGCATACATAGACAAATATTGAAAAATGAGCAAACAATTCAAAACAAAAGCGTTCATAACAAATGTGTTTAAAACGGTAACGATCGGAGCAAGGGATAAACGTTTTGTGTAAGTGCCTTGTAGCCGCGGTGGCAAATTGCATCTTCTTCAGACGTAGATAAGCAAACTTAACACCACCACTGTTTTCAGTTTTGACAACTATCGAGCATTTGATACGCTAGTAACTGCTGGCTATGTTGACAAATGAGTAAAGCTAGGGCAATAAATGGTCAAAGTTTCCCATGCATTTCATTAAGCATCGACATTTATTGTGATTTTGTGGGGCACGATTATTTGTGTAAGCCAAGAAAGGTTAAGTGCACCTTCTTCGCAATAACAGACAAGTGCACTGTGTATCTGCGTTTTTATTCAGGACCGACCTAGCTGCTGCTCAATAAAATCAGGCTGCTAGTGTTGAAATTTTGCGTTGTTCTTTTCGAATCTTTCAGTGAGATGTTTGGTTAAAGCTGTTCAATCTGTGCTGCCCTTTGTTGGTGCGTCATGTCCGCCATGTGTGTTCTGCCACTCGCGTCCTTGCTGTAAAAATAAAAATGTGTCTGTTTTATCATTATTTTGTGCTTGGCAGCAAACTCTGGTTTGCAATTAACTTAAAACTTCAGAAATATAGCAAACACATTATTTTACATGCTGCAATTTTGGGCCCGTCAGAGCACTCCAAGTCTGGCCCATAACCCAGGCAAAAGTCCGCCAGTTCTTGTGAGTCAGAAATCGGTGGGATGGCAGGCAGGAAAGTTGCGCCTCAAATATGAACGTTCCTAAAATATTTCACTGTCGCGCTGCTACACGTCTGTGTGTGCGTGGGCGTGCGTTGGAAACATCGGTCATCACGTGCGATGCGTTACGCTGATTCGCGGTTACGACTTGAACACTTGCAAACATGCATGACGGGAAGGGAGAGCGAGTCCTGATCATTGCTGAAGGTGAGAGAGAAGGAAACAAATTTATTTATATTGGTTCGGACAGCTAAGAGCACGTTCCGATCGCAGGGGACTATTGATTTTAGAGTTTATCTTCAAGCTATTTTTGCCAGGACGTCGAGTGTGGAGGGAAGGACGCGTTCCATCGAATTTACAAGGGTGTTGACGGACCTCCCAACCACCGCAACCGGTGAGCTTCCAATTCATGCGTTAATCATCCGCACAGTCGATGGCGACCATGGGTCAGCGTTCAAAGGAAGCATATGAGTTCAGTCTCTCGATTCGGCAGCGAAATTAACCGGATGGTCACGTCTCAGCGATACGTGCGTTAATTTTGTACGATATTACCGAATTATTGTACGACTCCGTGCATGAAACATTGTGTTACGAGAATGTCGGCTATTCTGTTAAGAGGCTATCACATTGGATGACATTTCAACCACTATAGTCTCTTCTGGGAAGAGTCGAATGATATATGTACGACGTGTACGAAGGTGAAAGTATTTAATCATGCTGTTTTCACTGTTTTGGCCGCCTGTTTTCGCTCACTATCGAAGCTATCAATAGCAGAATTTTTGTTAAACGAAAAGCTGCCCGGACATAGCTGAGATTTTCAGGCAAATACCTCTGCCGCGTAGTAAAAATCCATGGAAAGTTTGCAGCTAATATTATCATATGAAATGCAAATGGTGCGATCACTGAAAACAAATTGCCTGGAATTACAAGGAGCGCAATTTGTGATCATTAAAAGCTGAACTGCTTCGAAACAACAGACGATAGAAGTTAAGCTTAATCAGAAATAATAGCATGGCCAACTTTATTGTCTTAAGCTTTACTTTCTCGCATGTTCTTGAGGACTCAAAGAAAGCTATGCCACTTTGAAAGTACTGTAACATTCAATATGGGTTTTGTAGAGTTGGCAACAACCCGGGCTGTCAGGAAAAACCGGGAAACCCAAATGGGCAGCGAACCGTATTTGTTTTTGTTGCCTTTGAAAGGTGACCGAAATTTTACATTGGCTTTCAGTCATTTGAGGCTATATATATATATATATATATATATATATATATATATATGCATATCCATATATATGTATACAATATATATATATATATATATATATATATATATATATATATATATATATATATATATATATATATATATGTATATATATAACTTAAAATCTGCTGTCCAGCTGTGTTGCTCAAAACGCAGACCACCACTAGGTCAGGTGCCCAGAGCAGATGCCCAATTGACGTGTCTATATCGGGTGTCCAGATCAGGTGTCCAGGTCATGTGTCCAGGTCAAATATCCCAATTGAGTGTCCACGTCATGTGTGCAGATCAGGTATCTTGACAAGGTGTTCAGTTCAGGTGTGCAGGTTTAAATGTCCAGTTCATTGCTCAGATCATGTACTTACGGCAATGGCCCAGATCAGACGTCCAGGTCGTGCGAGAAAGTCAGATGTCCGAAGTTAGAGTCCAGATCAGCTGTCCAGATATGGTGTCCAAATCAATATTTAGGCCAGATTTCAAGGTCAGGTTTCGAGGTCAGGGGTCTAGGTCAGGCGGCCAGGTAAGACGTGTACGTCAGGTGCATAGGTCAAGCCTCCAGGTCAGGCATTCCATGTAAGCTCTGATTAGGTATCTGCTTGTCATCGCAGGTGTATAGATCATGTGTCCAGGTCACGTATCCAGGTCACATGTCCAGATCACGTGTCCAGGTCTCGGGTCCAGGTCACGTGACCAGGTCACGTATCCAAGAAAGGTGCACGGGTCAGGCAACGGGTCAGGTGTCCAGGTAGTTGTCTAGGTCAGATGTCCAGGTCAGTGTCTAGCTCAGATGTCCAGGCCCGGTGTCCAGATCGGCTCTCCACGTCAAGGTCCAGATCACGGTCGCGGCAGGCGCTTCAGGTCAGCTGGCCAGGCCAGTGCTCAGCGCCGCCGCTGCCGCCCGGCGCCGGCGGCGGGTCAGCGCGGCGCGGCCCGGGTCAGCGCGGCGCGGTCAGCCGGCCGGCGGCGGGATCGTTACCGGGCGCGACTGCGCGGCCCGCGCCGGCGGCCGCAGTCGGACGGAGCCCGGCCGGCCGGCCGGCCCGGCCACTGCCGGCGCCACCATGAGCAGCGACGGCCGCGCCGCCGCTGAGCGCCAGCCCCTCGCGGAGCCCAACGGCGCGCTCGGCTCGCGGGTGCAGCACGCGCTCCACAACGGCAAGGAGCAGTTCAGTGTGGAGACGGTGCCGGCGGCGCGGCGGCGCAGGAAGCCGGCCGGTGCAGGCGCGCGGGAGAAGTACCTGCTGGCGCTGGTGGGTCTGCTGGCGTTCACGGCGCTGCTCTTCCTCGTGCTCTACTTGCAGACGTCGTCGACGGGCGCGGCTCGCAGAGGTGAGGGGTCGGGCCGGCAGGGCTGGGAGGAGACCCCGGGGCGTCGTGAGGGGTGAGTGTCGTGCCACCCATGGGAGGTGGCGTCTGATTCGGAAGACGCGGAACGACCCGGCAGACGGAGATTTGGGTGCGCGGAGCGACGAATTGGGGCTATCTGCGTGGTAAGGATGGTAGATGACTGCTGTGGGCGCTAGTCGGGCATTCCTGGAGGAGTGTGCGAAGCGAGCATTTCAGCACGAACATTGATGGATGGCGCAGCCAATCTCACACACATTGTGACAAAGACAGGCCGCAGTTTTAGCACGGAATGGACAAAAGCCGAGGAAAATAGGCGTCCATTAAGTGCACATTCAGTCGATGCCCTTTCCCCAGTCTCGCCAATCTCAGACCGGTGTGGTTGTGGAACCATGACTATACAACTTATCACTAGTGGATGGTCCATAATTTATGCGCTTCCGCGTACTTCGGGAATTCCGAGCCAGGCTGCTCTAGCCACGCATCATAGTATACTGATATATTACCAGCGGATGTTTCAGTGATAACCATGAGCATCAGAGAAAAAACACATGCATTTTCACGCAGTGTGAATCGAACGGGAAATGTGCACTGTTCCTGGCATGATGACGATGATGTCCGCAAAGTGACAGGGCTTTGATCATGCCTCCAAGCAGGACGGAGCCCTACCAAAAATATTGGGGCGGCAAATGATATTTCTTCTTTTCCATGGATCGCCTTAGGCCGAACGTTGGCTTTTGAAACGCTGAATATGCACCAGTAAACCGTGAAGCTACACCTATGCCCTAGTCAAAAACAGCCTACGTCTTATCGGGCACCGTTACTTGTACCTCCTTTAATGTAGTGATCTTATCTATATCCCTTTCTCATTTACGCATGTGGGCCTGGCTGAATATGACCATTTGGCAGTTGTGCGCCGTTTGGAACGTTCCTACGCTGATTTCGGTAAATTATTAAATATATTTGTTGACTTTTCACGCACCTTGCAAGTTCAAAACTAAGATGAAAGGAGACCGTAATAAGGCTGTGCTTAGACTAAGACTTATAATTAGAATATGAAGCAAATCTGGTTCCTAGCGCATGATCCCGTGTGCTTGGAAAAGCTGTTATGGCTGGGCAAAGTGCAGTGAAGATCATTAAGACCAACCTGGCGGCGGCTTCAAAAGCCACAGCAAAATGTTTTATTCAAGACCTGCTGAATGTTCGTCCAAAAACAACTCTCCCCACTGATATGAACTCATCAATTTGCCCACGACATACTTACACACTTTGACAGCGTGCCATCGAATGACATGAGTAATGCATTAGGGTGGTTTGGATGAGGGCAGCGTTTGATGTCATAAAAGCAAGGACTAACATGCACATCAAGTAACTTGCATGGTTAGAAACGGTGGCAAATGGCCACATTGGCTGCTGAACTAGTACAACATGCCAGACATGCCGGGACGCGCATGATTGTAAGCGTAAGTCTTTTTAAGTGCTCTCACTCAACTCTTACTCTCGAAGCTGTTTCAAATAAAGACTTGAAACATGCTCTGAAGTGACAGAATGCTTAACGTACACATTGTGGTGACACGCTGGATTGGATACTTAATTCTAGTTATTTTAAATCTGAAATGTAGCAATGCTCGTTACTTAAAGGAATGCATACGTGCATGTTTAGGTATATGGATATGCGTTCCCTCCTAGTGATATTTCACGCCATAAGTTTTTACGCGACCTGATGATTTAAACCTAACTGTTCCTACTAACCACAAAGCTTCGCTCGTAATGTGTTGTCGGAGCTCCAAGACAGACACCGGTGGTCGGCATGATCTATAAATCTTGCAAAAGTTAAGGACAGAATTGAAAGCTGTTTTTTGAACAACGGAAAAGCTCATGTGTATTGCTTTGACACTCGTCAGAGGTCATCAATTTTCACTCACACTGCGAGACAGGAAAGGGCAGGTACGCAGCTGGAGGCGCATCTTTGATAACCTCCCGACAACATTGAAGGCTCTCTTGTAGTCTGGTGCGGGCTTTACAACGTGCTCTGTCATAGCTGGTAAAAAGCTGTATTTATTTATTTATCTATCAAAATGGAAAGAAAGCCAATTCGACCTTGAGGGTTAGAAGCTTTTCTTAACCATCCTCTTTACACGAGGCCGGAAAATGTCACGACTGACATGCGACCAGTGACCGCTGCGGGGGGGGGGGGAGGGGGGCGGGGGTTGTGAGGCAAGAGCATATCCGAGAAGCTTTGTGTTTCGGCTATCCGGTAGTCACTGCAAAATCGTTCACATGCTTCATGCCAGGGGGTCTAGCTGATTCCAAAGTGGGTTCGCACGCCCCGTGGCGTCCTGTATGGAAGCACCAGAGCGTCAGAACCGGAGCGAGGCATACTTAATCAAATATATAAGACATCAGAAGGTGGCGGTGCTGTCTTACGCTCGGTCGCCGGTTCGCCCGGGCCGGAACGTTTACGCCCGTGAGGCCGTTTAATCGCTGACGACGGGCGTGCTATCTGGCCACCAGCTAACTTTAGCCAACCGTCGTCGGAGGAGGGGGAGGAAGCCGCCGACCAAAGAAAGCGGCATGTGCAGGCGCAGCGGGGACCTTAAAACATGTGGCATGAAGCGGATCAAGTTAAGTCGGTTGCTTGTTTTCAGCCTTGCCAAGTGTATATTTTTATGTTTCTTAAGCTTTGCAAATTCATTTACCGCCAAACATAAAAACATGGGACGTAAAAGTAGTACCCAGCTTAAAATGCGTCGTACTTGGAACTAAGAATATGTGGTGACAGGCATGCATATCATTTTGCAATGACTTCCATTGATATTTTTGCATCACTTCTGGAACTGTGATGTTCGAGTGAAAAACTTACTCAGGGAAACCTTTCTCCCGCTGCGTTTTTTTTTTCTGCTAGCAAACGCCACCGTTTCTTTGCTTTCAAGCAGCCTTCCACTAAACTGAGCCAGGAAAATCCCCTCGAGGACATTTACAAGACCATCCATTGATTAAAATGTGAAATATCAGGCCGTAAGTGCACCTCATGAATCTAAGTCCCTCAGAGCCACACAAAAATGAGAGTAAATGAATGGAGGTTGGGAGAAGAACGGATGAGTGGGTTATCGCGCCTGGCGAAGACAAAGGTGAGTGGAATGGAGAAGGCACTCGCTTCGAATTTGCGACAGACCAATTCGTCTTTGATTTGCCATGACCCGGTAAAATTAGATGCTTTTCACAGAAAGTAATGGTGGATCAGCCATTTGGGGTCATATCGATAGGTATCGGGGCAAAGAATGGTTGAATTAGCGTGTGCTTTCGGTTAGCAAGAACACACGCAAAACGATTGTAAGAGGTCATTCACTTTGTTTACAACAGGAGTTGATATTGCATGATTGGTTATGAGCTATTCAATTTGCGTGGTGGCCATTGGAGACATTTAGTTTTGAGGCATTGCTGGGGACTTCCCAGTAGTCAACACAACACGGAATTAGTTTAATTTCGTTGATATTATCCTTCGGGCTGGGCAAACCATGAATATTCGTAAAGCACCATTTCAGACCTGGTTCGTTGGTATTTTGTCAAAAGCAACTGTAGCTGTGGGGAAGGGTTTAATATATAATTGTAACAAGTAATACAATAAACAAATGTGAGAAATACAAGAAATGCTCAAACAAAACTGACAGTGTTCGTGCGCCCGGCTGTTAATGCTGCTTTTTTACCATCATGCACTCAAGCCTAGTGAATCTGGGTTTGTTTGTTTCATGCTTAAGAAGTACGTTCTTTTTACAAATGGTGAACGGATTGGTAACGACTAGATAGGAGCAAATATAAACAAGAAGTGAGTGGCATTACTCAGACACAACGGACCATGCCCGGAATCTGTGCAGAAAACTTTCCCGTGAACGCCTCCGATCGTTGCTGTTCCAGAGGTAGACAGGTTGGCTCGGGTCGGCTCGGGTCTCGGCTGCAGCCCTCACCGCATCTTGAGATCACCCGGTGACCAGGCCTCGCCAGACTAATGGAAGACTTTGGTCGACCCAACAGCGAGACATTGCATGTCCTTAACAGCTACGCCGTGTGATGTTTGCAGAGGCATACAAACGCGTGTCGTTGACCAAACATTAGGAAACTCGCAACAGGTGACGTATTCAAATTTAAAGCCGTGTTGCATTTGGTGATAAACGCTGCGTCCGTGTCTTTATTGTCAGGGCTCTAGCGAAATGATCAAAGGCACGACCACGCGGTCCATTATGAAACGCAATATTGCATAAACTACGGTGCATGTTGGTATGCTCTTACAGCCTGGCACGCCGAGTGCGTGTTATCTGAAGTTCACGGCGCCATAAACTGAGCTTTTTGTTCCAGTCACTTATAATCACATGTAAAAATGCATAATCTGCCTCATTAATAGCTACAAACGTTGCATAAATGGAAGAGAATTTCGTGGACCGCTAATTAATTCAAGATGAGGCGGCTTATTTGACCTCTACCTGGCCGTGGATAAGACATGGTGACCTCTGGGTCACCTCAAGTCTCATTATCTGTTGAAGGACCTTCTGATACATAATTCATTAACTGATGTTTCCTAATCAAGTTAAACATTCGAAAATAGCAGGCACAGGAATGGAGTGACATCACGCACTTAAATACGGGCGCCAGTAACGCGGATGGTCCTTCCACAGTGCGGTTATCACTTTTATCAAACGCCTCTTTGGCGTTCCGCTTCTTCTGTGGGGCATACAACGGGCATTACAAAGAAACGACGCTGCAATGAAAAAAAAACGGAGCACGGTTTTTATGGAGTCGTTGTGTGTGAATCGTTTGGGTATTACAAATATTCGTTTGGAAATGTTGTGATGATACCTCCATGGACTTCAGTCCAATACTAAAGGATGATTTTTGACACCTCCGGTTTCTCTAATCAGATCGGGATCGAGACTGAGACTGAGGCTGAGGCTGAGGCTGAGACTGAAACTGAAACTGAAACTGAAACTGAGACTGAGGCTGAGACTGAGACTGAGACTGAGACTGAGACTGAGACTGAGACTGAGACTGAGACTGAGACTGAGGCTGAGACTGAAACTGAAAATGGAACTGAGACTGAAACCGAGACCGAGACTGAGACCGAGACCGAGACCGAGACCGAGACCGAGACCGAGACCGAGACCGAGACCGAGACCGAGACCGAGACCGAGACCGAGACCGAGACCGAGACCGAGACGGACGGAAACAGGGACAGAGGCAGAAACAGAGACAGAGACAGAAATCAAGAGACAAAGATAGGGATGGAGGTAGAGACCGAGGTGCATAGACTGACAAACATAGACAGAGACAGAGGCAGTTCTTTAACAGACACTGACAGTTCGTTTTTCCTTGCATTGAGACCTTTCTTCATAACTTGTGTCGATCAGGGCATATGAAAGTTTCCATACCACGGATTACCATAGCGTGCCGTCGTAGAATTAGCTCAATAAATGTTCTAGCAGCAAAGTGAGCAAATTTAAATGAGGAACATTGAAGCAATTTTCTATCAGTGATGTGTAATGTGCGCGGAGCTTGTTATAATAATTGGCAAAAATTGTGATTTCAAATGAAAAGTTTGTTCTCTCAAGGATGGATTCTTGGGAAAAGATTTGGCAGTCCTAATTGCACATACCAAACCGAAGTAAGTGTGCGGGCGTGTACTTACAAAATTCCGTTTTAAAGTCGTCAATATCCCTTTCAATAGATAGCACCGCAGTTTGGACTGTGGCGAAAATCCACTGCAATGGTGGCGCGGAACTAATTATAACCTGCATCACATTAGAAATTGTGCTTTCCTCACCCAAAACCAACGATGTAAATAATTTCGATTGTGTATTGGGTTTAACAGATCTCTAAAAGCTGTGAGCGGCACTACCACATGTTCGTAACCAGACCAGCAAATTTTCGTGCATTAGTTAACGAATGCGGTAGAGCGGTGAACAGCATCGCCTCCTTGTTCTTACATGGGATTTGGTGCTGTGATTTTTCTTTGGAAGCCCGCTTATGTTTAATAAATCCTCCACACCAAGGTAAGTGCCCATTCACGTTTTGTGTTCCTCTTCAGCACCCAGTCTATGGCTATGTGTGATCACGTGGTCATAACCATTTAAAACTTAAGAAACTTCCGCAAGCTGTTATGTGCAGCTTGTAAATATGCTTGCTTGTAAATGTGACAAGCTTAACCCCCGACAATAAAGCCAAGGCACCCACAATCACTAACAAATTAAAGTTACTGGTTTGACTTGTCTCTTTAAAAAACGATTTCGTGTATTTAACCTACCAAAACATGTTAATTGCGTCATTTCCACTTTTACCGCAGCACTGACTATGTGTGTCTGCAACGCGTTGTATGCCTGTGGAGGTGCATTTTACTTTAGCGCGTTATTTTATCACCAGTGCTTTGAAATCTCAAGGCAGTTTTTCTGTGTTGACGAACACTTTACTGATAATGGACAAGTCAGTCCTCTGGTAGTGTTTTCAGTTTTTGAAGACTGATGAATGAAGCTTTAGTTAAAGACAATGAGGCACCCTCTCGGTCTGCATCCTTTGCGTCGCAATTTGATAAGCATCTCTAACGAAATGTTTCTTTTTTGCAGGTCGTGCGAAAGTATGCGTCACACCTGAATGTGTTACAACAGGTAAGATCCCAACCCGGCCGGCCTTCCTGTCGTCTGTCTCTGTGTCGTATCATGGACTGCGCGCGGTAAGAAGCGCGGCGAACAAGGCCATGACACTGGGCACAGCTCGGATCTGGCATGCAAGGGGACGTTGCGAAGTGTCACAATCAGCAGAGTACTTTGAAATCTGGACGGCTCGGGTGAAAACCAGGTGTGGTGGAAACAGGCGAGACAGAACAAGCGAGGTCATCGATCAACTGTCCCCCGGGGGGCGGTGCCAGTAGATCAGTTGGAAAGAGAGTTGGTCGTCGCACCAGCGAGCGGCAGCACAGTCAGCACATTTTTCAGCATCAAAATAGCTCACAATGAAATGTCATTGCCAAACGAGTCGGCGCAGATCCTAGAAGTCTCGACTTTCGCCGACGGCCCATGCCGGAGCCGCCGGGATCCGGTACGGGTCGGGCGTCGGTCGGTCGGTCGGTCGGTCGGCCGGGCCGGCGGCGGCGCGACCGGCAGCTGGAAGGCGTCCTCCGTGCCGACGGCGGCCGCGCCACGCGGCGCACGGCCAGCGCTCGGCTCCGTTCCGCTTTGTTGGACGCTTTAGCCCGTGTCACTCGGTCTGAGTGTCTGAATGAGCTGCCAACGCCACTTGCGGTGCCTACTCTCGGCGCCTCCGGCTGCCTCCTTGAGCGCCGTGCCACGGACGTTGCGACGGGCGCCGCTCGGGGGCTGCTCCGCCACCCGACGACTGCCTTCTTGAGCATGTGGGCGTCTTCTTCGGGGTCACGGGGTGCCACGTGGGCCAGATGCAGTCGCTGTATGCTGAGGACGGCGCCGGCCGGCGTGCCACCGCGCTGCAAAGTTACACGGAAGATTCGTCGAGTAGTCTGACGCAACATGCAGTTGGCGGCACATTATTTGAAGTTATGCAGCCAAGTGCTTTCATAGCAAACGACAATCCTTTTAAAGATCCGGTCTATCGGCACTTTAAGGCAGCGCACAGAAACCCTACAAACTGCCAAACGCTGTTGCTGACGCTCGCTCCGCTCCGGTGAATATCCAACGGACCAGTAATCCAGCGACACGGCGCAGGACCTCAGGACGTGCGCCCTACTCGGCTCGACTGGGATCGAAAGGTCAACTGGCACTTGACACGGGATGGTTGTGTCGTGGCCTTGCATGGTACGAATACGAGTTCTTCCCAGTCATGTGTGGCCTAAAGGCCGCAGGGCGAGGTGTCGATGGACTGGTAGTGACACATCGATGGTGGGCTTTTATACGTGTATTCAACGCATCCTGATTGGCTTGTGAGTACCCGCGTCCGAAATCACCTGTACAAACAGCCTACAACATTTTTTAGAACCACACGTTCGCGAATTTTTTTTTATAATTAGCATCCTAGGAACGTTGATGCCAACCACTTTCTTTCCTTGTAGTCACGTCAGCTACGTATATTGGAATCGCCAAGCTGCATGGGGTACTGTAGAGGATGCTGTATGGGAACAGCACTGTATGAGAACGAACTGTATGGGAACGAACTGCATGGGAAATCGATGCACCTGGAGAGCGACGCATGTCTTGCGCAGGTTCGATCAGCATGTAGTAATATTTTCTGGTATATCCTTATTTGAAGATAGCACCCAATGACACTAATGATGAAGTAACACTGTAATGCAGATCTTGATTGGCATCAAACAACTATGTCGGATTGAACGCTTGCTTTACTAGTATCAGATGCAAGCTTTTACCCAAATGGCTTGCTTGGGAGTCGCGGAAATCACCGGGTCTACACCAACCTGTCACCCTTCATAAGTGAACTGTTTACATGTGTAAGCTTGCGCCTGTCTGTCTGCCACAGTTGAATATCCCACGACATTAGGAATAGTTCGTTGAATGTTGTAAACAGGCGTCTGTTGGTACGCTACCCGTCGAAGTCTGCTGTTTAATGTTACTCTAAATATCGCAGGCGTTGTGTGATGATACCCTATTGTTGTCTATGCATGGTCAGTTGTTACTGAGCTGTGTGAATCAACTGGGTTTGTCTATAAATATGTGATGAAAAATGTATGGAATTTCATAACAGAATAGCATAAGGACACATTCCTACTAGCAACAAATGCTGGGACTTGAGGACCGTGAGGGGTTCACTGATCAGTCAGAAGCAGGATTAGTAAGTGAACGGCTTTACAAATCGAGGCACACTTGTTTAGCTCATTGCATCCGTCTGAAAGTACAGGCATGTGCCAGCCGTCTTATTCGCTCTTTATGTCCAGTGGAGCTCGAGACTATTTCGTTCGATTCACCGTGTAACTACAGTGTAGTTAAAAGCCGTGTAGGTGGTGACAGTGGTTACCACTCATTTACTCAGTGGACTGGCGACGCGCCGTGGCTATTCGAGGAGCAACGCGTTCGCTTTCAGATACCAGGGTATCGATTTATCGATCTCTGTCAACCTTGGCTCTAGCGCTGGATCAGTGCGCCTTCGGCTTCAATTAACATTTTCCTGGTTTTGTCAATGACATTAGCACTATGAAAAAATGGCATCCTGCCTAATTGTGTACTCAAACTTGGCCGGCTGATTCACTGTCATGCTTTATTTTGACTGAGCATAGCCTGACCTTCGTTTATTCTCATATCTAGCTTAATGGCTGTACATGAATGCTGGCTTTATCTTGGTGTAATTCCGTTCCCAGCCAAATTAATATTTAAATACTGCTCGTTCGTCCCGTTTGACGCAAGCAACGTTTATGACGTCACCGTTGCTATTGACGATGGCGACGGGCAACGTTGACACTGACAATATCCTGACACATCTGAACTCAAATCCTACAGTAACAAAAAATTATATAGGGATGATTTTGGTTGGCAAAGACAAAAGAAGATTGCTTATGTGACAAGGTATGCAACATATAATCTGACATAATCTGACAGGCGGCGCATCTGACAAATAACTTATGTCAGATATTAGGTGTGCTGGGGCCGTAATGTCAATAATTTTGTGTACGCTAGCATGTCCTCGCATGTCAGACTTTACCATTGCGCAAGCTTCAAACAAAGCTGCTTTTTCAAAGATTCATTAAGAAATTTGAATAGTTGTTCGAATTGTTGTTTTCTGAGAACATGTGATGATGGTTCGCCTTGCGTTGTCATGCCCGTGTGTTCGTGTTAATTTCCCATCATTTGAAGGCAGTGCTCCACATTTGTGTGAGGCTTTGAACTGAAATAGCTTGAAGTAGATCCAGAAACCGGGGATTGAGATTATAAAAGAACCAACCCGGGCCAGGATCCAGGATCTCGCGTGTTAGGAAGAGCAGGTCCGAACCAGGAACCATCACTGGGAACCAGGCATGTGTCCATCCAGCACCATGGCCAAAGCCAAGGAAAACGGGATCTGCTGTTGCACGCCTCCTCCCGCGTGGGCGTCGGTGTTGTTCGCAGCCGTCCTAACCAGTGGCTAGAGTGGGAACTTTAAATGGATTGTTCCAAATTTGTATGGTTTTGAAATGAAATAGCTGTTTTGAAACTCATTCGTTGCACTTCACAGCCGTACCATCCTTAAGACCTAATCCTCTCTAGTTTCTGAGCTACCCAGCCGCGAAAATGGGAAGAGTATTTTGGGAGAGTATGTCCAGGTCACGTGGGCGTTTATGATGTCAGAAAGCGTCATTCATATCCTGCCATTCCATAAGGCATGCGGCGATCGAGGCCTAAGAGAATATAATTGTGGAGGAGTTCAAATCTGTCATTCGTCAGCGCGATTTCCAGATACAACGGCCGTGAATTGACTCCCAATCAATGTTGTACAAAGTGAGGTAACGTAATCAAACCACGATGCATTGAGGAGCACATTTGCTTAACAGAGAATTGCTCTCTCTATAGCAATCTTTTCTACGTAAAAGAATACCAGTAAGCATAAGTGAGTTTGTTTCAACATATCTGATGATGCTTCCTTCAATATCTTCAAATGTGAAACATTTTCCTCTATCGTAGACTTATCCATTTACCACGCTGTTAAACGGATTCGTCATACGCAAGTGCCGTTTAGTTCTAACACGGCATGGAGCGTCAAATGACATTCACCGCGCTCAAGCCCATTAGACACGTCATGAGACTGCACTAAAAAGTATCTTTTGTCACCACGACACCACGCACACTCCGACTTCGAGACGGACAGTGTCCGGCGACGCCACGCAGCCCCATGTCCCGACAGGGGGGGGGGGGGGGCTTGTGCGACTCATGAGTAGGACGGTGGGGCGGGCGACGACACGGTCAGCAGGCTGGCGGGCGGCCCATTGTCCACTGCTGCCCGCAAGCGTGGCGCCCGCTGCTGACTGGCAGACGGGTGCTGGGGAGCCGGGCATAGCGCGTGCAGACCTCATGAGGTCAGCAGAGCGGGGCCACGTATGGGGCTTTGTGTGGTCGGCAGTCACCGCTTGTTGAAAAGGACGGTATTCACGGCGCGGTAGCCTTTTTTCGAAATCTACGTGCCGTGTACAAGGAACGAAAACAACCGTGAACTTTGATTCTGATGCACGTCGTCTTGAGTAGGTTGGTGTAGTCCATACACGAGATGAGGTCTGGGATTAATAAGCAAAGAACTAGGTCTAGCGCTGTTCTGAAGTAACGACAGCATAATTGGAGCTAAAAATAAAAACAATTTACTTGATTGTGATATCCCGCTGGTGATGCAGTTGCATTCCCTGGTGCTATCGATATTAATGGCAGGTCCTAATGGCCCACCAGAGCATGTCTATGAAATACGCTTTAAAGGTCGGGCACTCTCTTTAAAATTTAGAGATATCGATACGTCTTTTAAATTGGTAATGGATTCTGAAAAGACCCTAAAATGCCCGCATTGTGTCGCAGTTTGAATAATGATCATTAGTTTGTTTAAATCATTACAATGTGTATCTTATGAAGTCCTGTTGATGTAAATGCCTCAACATCCAGTCTTGGAACTTAATATCTCGCGTGGTGCAGTTCATAATAGCGTGATAGCGTGTTGTTTGTGGCATGGTAGTTCTCTCACTAATGCACTCGTATGCTTGGAATGCTTACACGGACTGCCGCCTGAACTCCACCTCACTGCGGCATATGTGCTTCGGGTGTGGTGAAGAAAAAACGCCTCCTGAAGCTCGGTCATCGCAACAAATGGCACACAGTCGTGGCGGCTACGTGTCAATAATGCACCAGCGACCCAACTTTGAATAGATTTTGAACGCATTGCCGACGATTCCTTAAAACGGTTCATTCCGAACGTTTTTAGATGGATGGCTTTCTGGGATCAGAGCTCACGCTGAGCAGCGCGTTTTGTGTGAGGCGTGACCCCTACAAACCAATCCTGCAATTCCAGGTCAACGGCAGATCTGGTGGCGCACGTTGAACGTGGTGCAAAGCCCAGCGCAGTCCAACATGCTCTCTGTTCTGTGATGTCACCCGACCTTTCAACGCGGTCGCTGTCACCATTATTCCATACAAGTTCATACCATGGCCTTTTGCTGCACATGGCCGCAATCGCTCAAAAAACGTAACTCAGTCGGACATTTCATTGTCGTTTGACAACGATAAAAAGCTGAGACAAACTCAACTCACTCGGCTGCAAATGACAATCACGGCTCCAAACCCGACGTGCGCGGTGTACAGGTATGACACATTTACATGGCATAAAGACCGAAAATATGTGCATGGTATCAAGACAAACAGTGCATTCTAACAGATTTGAAGGCTCTGCGCACTGATTGGGTGTTTCAAGTCATGAAGCGTTGGATGGGCCACATCTGTAGACGCTGCCAAAAGTACGGATGTGCACTCATGAAGTGACAGAGTGAGCATGGCGAGTTTTAGCACCCAGAGTGCCGCGTGCAGCCGACACCGTGCTCGCTAGCGGTGTCCACTTAAGCGTGTGCTGGTCACGGCCGGCGCACGTGACGCCGGCCAATCGATCACCGTCACGTCACGTGCTGCGTGCAGCGTGACGTGCAAACACGGCTGCTGACGGCAACACTCTCGGCGCGGTGCGTGCCGCGCTGCCACCGGACGCCCAATGAATTTCTTAGTACGAGCTGGAGCGAAGCGATTGCACTGATGACGCCATTAGTGGTTTTACTGTCGCCGGCGTGCGGAACGAACACGCAAAGGACGTTGTGTGAACGTGACTGGCGAAAAAATCGAGCGTCCTGTTCATTTTCGGGTGGCTGAGCGGGTGATTCTGTTAGTCAGTAGAAAACAATGATCGTTCAGGTGCCTTAGCGAACTGTCACACATATAGCTGCCCACTTCTTAACGTTCGAAAATGTAAGACTTATTATTGCGTCATCAGAAAAATAAACTGGAGTTCTGTTAACAGGGTGGTTGGCACAATTAACATCACGGAAAAAAGCAGATGCAGTAGGAAGAAGAACCTTGCGGAAAACTTACAGATTATCCTTCATAGTTCTGGCCACATCAGTGTGATGTGCTGCATGTGTTCGGACCACTCTGCCTCCTCTCTTCTGGCCAATCGCTGCCTGCATACGCCACCTGCCAGAAATGTCCCGAACGTGTCATTTGACAGAATTGCTTTAAGAAGAACGTCAATCGCTGTCAACTTTGCAAGGATGATCAACGCTATTTTTTGTTTGTTTTGTACTATAGATGAAGCAGCATGCTGACTTTAACTTGTGCACTGCGGAGCGCTTACATAAGCTGAATTTGCAGATTTAATTCATGAGCAGCGTGTCACTGTTCGCGCCATGGTATGTTTGATAAGAGCTCGGCGGACGGTGGTGAAACTGAACAGCTTAGTGGTGTGCATTTTTGAGACCGTATCGGGCAATCGAGTGTGTTTTGAATGGCATTTTGGCAACCAGCTGGATGAATGTGTTTGTACAGAACTATGTCTTAGGGCCAAGGACCGTGCGCTTAATCCCCAGAGATGAGCTAAAAGTAGCATCATGTGCAGCGCATAACCTTTCATAAATCATTTACCAAAAATGCAACTTCGCCTATTCAAGTGATGTATGCCCCATAGTCAATAAAGGCACTCGTTTTGAAGCACCGTTACCAGTAATTTGTTTAGATAGCGACGGTGATTGAAATTATAATTATGCTCCCGTTAGGTGAAATGAACTGAAGAAGCCCTGGTGACAGAAGTCTGGAAATGCTGCAAATGCTGTCCAAAATTGCTGGTAATGAATGTTGCGGTGCTGGTGATGATAACAATCAACATTTGGTGGCAATGCTGGATTGTGCATTGGTGGCCATGTTGTTACTGCTGGCCGCCGTGTTATTGCTGATCGCGGCGATGTTGGTGATCGTGCTGGCGGTGATGCAGCTGCCTCGCTGCTGGCCATCATGCTATTACTGATATCGGCGGTGTTGATGACGATGCTGGCGGTGTTGCAGCTGCCTCGCTGCTGGCCACCATGCTATTGCTGATATCGGCGGTGTTGGTGACGATGCTGGCGGTGTTGCAGCTGCCTCGCTGCTGGCCGCCATGGACCGGACGGCCGACCCTTGCCACGACTTCTTCCAGTTCGCCTGCGGCACGTACAACAAGGAGCATGTGATTCCGGAAGACCGCAGCAGCATATCGACCTTCGAGGTGCTCGCCGATCACCTCCAGGTCACCATTAAAGGTCAGTGACCGGATCTCAAACCGGTTCCACATGCGAGCGAGTGGTTATCAATGGCCTCACGAAACGAACGCAAAAGACATTCCTGGATCCGAGGTCAAACGTAAGATTATAGCAGGGCACCGACTTTGATTTGGCAATCAGCTACAACGCAACTCAGCTTAGCTGAATTGTCTCAACTCAACTCAACACAAAGCAACTCAGCTCGGCTCAGATCAGCTGAGCTCAGGTCAGCTCAGCGCACCTTAGCCCAGCCCAGCCCAGCCTAGCCCAGCCCAACCCATCCTGGCCAAACTTGCACGGTTTTCCCGTGTCATCCTTTGTCATGCAACCATTCTCTGTGCGATTTTCGCCAAAGTTACCTTAATAACCAATATCACATTTATCACATGCAATTATGGTTTCATGCATATCTCCAAAAGAATCCCCACAGGGTCCTTTGCTATCATGGTGCTTATGTCACATGTTTTGTGTCATAAAATGTATAATCACTATATTTTCGCTAAGTGTTCCACACGCGCACACTCTTGTGCGTACTGGCGCACGTGCGCTGACAGTTTCGAATGATTCTCACTCTCCGATGTTCAAATTTGAGCTTCTGTGGAACGTTTGCCCACATAACGAATATTGAACTACGTGCTTAATCGGTGAACATACCGTGTGCAATAGCCATGATATGATGCATCTGTCGATGCGAGACATCACGTGACGTGTTTAGCACAGGTACTGAAGTTCTACGTACTCGCCATGACCAAACAAGCCATCCAAGTAATTTCCGCTGTGCTCTTGGGTGTGTTGGGAAATTTTACGCCGGAATTAGACGCTGCGAAATGCATATCAGTTGGTCAGGATAGCTGAAATTGCTATGCACTGTGCAAGAACTATATTCCTAACGTACGACAGCACCAATTATGGAATGTCATTATGTCCCGTTCCGTGCGATGCGTATAGAACATCACAGCCTCCACAGAAGCCCAACCGAATTTGACATGGCCCATGGTTTGGCAAAATTAATTGGTTCCCATTGTTCACGTCCGTCAAACCATCGTTTTTTTTGCATACTAGCTGGCATCAGCGTCCTTCGATTGGTTTGCTCCCGTGTGGTCCTCCCACTGTGCAGTCAACCAGTGGTTTTCCTCGGCTCGCATGGCCTGGCTTCTCCTGCCCGCTCGGTATCTGCCGTGCAGCAACTGTGCGCTTCCGATAGGATGGTGCTTCAGTTCGTTCAACCTTCACTCTTCTGTTGTTGGCCTGCAACGGTCTTCTGTTGTAAAGCTGTTGTTTCGCGTGCCCCGCGAACGTAAATCGAAATGGGTCAACAGTTGGCATTGACATGGCCAAGCCTTGTTTGTCTGGAAATGTTCAGCGTTCAGTCAGAACTGATAAGTGATGCAAATTATGCAACGTAGTCTGGGGCACGCGCGCTTACAAACCCTAGCAACAAAAACTTCAATGCCAGGCGTTGCAGCCTTCATAGGCCGCGCGGAGTCGGGCCCGAGGGAAACACTAAGTTGTAACCAACGGGTGGACGAAAATAATGACGCATTTGAAAGAACCAACGTTGAGTGTATTAGAACGTCCCAGGGCGCTTCTTTTCACCTGTGCGCTTTATAGATTGATGCATAGAACGCATTGACCTTTACAACACTGCGAAGTTGTGCTAGAATCTTGTAGAGGTGGAGGAGTAAGGGTAGAATCTCTATTTTCTTATTGACGTAACTGCTAACCCGCCCAGAGGACAACCCCGAAGTTGCAAAAAAAAAACATACGCACAGCCTAATCTTTCAACGGTGCGAATCAATTTTTGAAAGCATTCAGAGGCACTTTCCACGACGGCCGCTCTCACGCGCTTGGCACCCGCCTCCTGTTGTTACTTGCAGTGGTCAACGCCGTCCAGTTTGACGGAAACTGCAACCCAGGCCATGGCTGGCCGTGCTTCTGAGATTGCGGGCGCGCAGGCTTAAACCTTTTGATAAGTTGTTCGACGAGTCGATTCTGCGAAGGAGTAAACGTTCTCAGGCCAACATGGGATGGCCTCGTTCGTTTTTTAACTCATTTCAACCCAGTCCATTCAACACTAAGGAGACCCATCCTTTCTTTCCGGGAAAGGGACCCCTTCGAGAAGAACACTAGCGGGCACATTAATATTGTTCCTGGTCAAGGGCTGAATGGCCTTCCGGGAACGGACAGACCCAGCGCACGCGGGGTGTCTCCGTCTGATCCATTCTGGCGACACGGGGCGGGATTCTCTGGCTGATCCGGAGGCCGTTAGAAGGATACATCCTTTCACATTGGTCCCCACCCTGACACAGGAGGCCTTCTGACCTGCGCTAACTGCAGTTGACCCCGGACCGACGCGGGAACCCTTCTTGACGCAACGACGTCTCTTATCGTCGCATGTGGTCCAATAATTGGCACAGAGACTCTAGTTCGGCTTAACAGATCCATGCTCAATTGCGATGGGGGGCCCACCGTTCGGCAATAGGGCTCTGACTCCCACAGGACTCTTCTGTTGCCTCAATGTGAAGCATCCTCATAAGCACTCATGTTTCCTTTCATTGTCAGATGGCCCCGACCAATGCAAGAGGCCCTCTGTCATTAGGGGCCCCCGACGCCCCCCCCCCCCTACCCCGACCTATGAAAATCGCGGCTGCGGCTGCTTCCCTGCTTGGGAAATGAGCTGTTGGAGCTCAGGCCGACGCGGAGCCGAATGTTCAGTGTTGGTGATCTCTGGCAGAAGCAGAAGAATGCTCTGTTCCATGGGTCCTCAATCGGTGCAATAGGCCTTCTAAATGACGCTTGAAATCACGGCCCTACGGACGGGGACACAGTCAGCCAGCCCTTTGGGCCGTTCAGCCTTGCAATCGGGTCCTTGATCTTTGGTCTCAAGAGTCCCTTTGGCCCTTCTTCAGGTCCCCTCAAACATGGCCCCTGGCTGGCTCGGGCCATTTGCCGCCACACAGCCCCTGTTAAGCACTGCGACCCATGACCGACACAGGAGCCCCTCCTTGCGTTAGGGATCCGGAACATTGCAAAACGCGGGCCCCAACCTTGTCCCTGCTTGAGAAATGGGTCTTAACAGCTCAGACGGACATGGAGTCGACTGTTTGGCTCCCTTTTGAGACCCCATTTAATGAAGATAGAGAACCCTTATAAGAGGAACCTAACAAATCTCTCTGACTGACATTTCAAGTGCCGACAATACGGTGGGGGGGGGGGGGGGGGGGCGGGCACGAGTCTAATCGGGCCCTTGGTCTATGATCCCGCGGGGCACTCCGGCCCCCTTTCGGACCTCCTCAAACAAAGCCCGCGGCCGACTGGTGGCCACTAGCCAGGACATGACCCCCTGTTACGCACTGTGGGCCACTGATCAACACAGGGGCCTCAACCACTGTTTCAGCGGCCTAAACCAATGCAAATTGTGTCCTCTGGTCTTGCTCCCGCTTGCGAAGTGGGTTCTCGGATTAAGACTGACAGAGAGCCAACTGTTTGGTGTGGTGATCTCTGAACGACTTGACCCCCGTGTTGTCTCAGGGGGTCCTCGGATGGTGCAGGAGGACCTCTGGCAGATATTTCTGGTCACGACCATACGGACCGAGATTCTTGATCTGGCCTAGAGCCAGTCCTTTGAGCCCTCATGCCCTCCAACCGAACCTCTGATAATCGGTTCCGTTGGACCGCACGGGCCCCTCTTCAGCCCTCATCGGACACTGCCCTTGGTCGGCTCGAGGCTCCTGGCAATCACAGAACCCTCTTATAGGCGTTGTGGGCCCCTGACAGATACGGGGGCCCCGACCAGTGCAGATCGCTGGCCCCGGTGTTGTAGCTGACTGGAAGTGGGCCCTCAGGCCCACATTGATACGGAGCGGACTGTGCGGTACTGGTGGTACCTGACCAACATGTAGACCCTTATCGGCCCAGAGTGTCCCTGATCGGCGCAAAGGGCCCTCTGACTGTCATTTGAAGTCCGTCCCGCAGGCTGGGTCCTCGAATAAGACTCAGTCCGGAGTCAGCCCTTCGTGCACTTAGGCCCTCCAATCAAGCCCTTGGTCGTCGGACCTGGTAGGCCCCCCAGGCAATTCGAGCCTCCTAAAACCGTGCCTCTGACCGACTTGGGGCCCCTTACAAGCCAGCACAGCACTGGTGTTGCTGGCTGTGTCTGCGCGACACAACCGACATGTAGGCCCTTATCGACTCGAGGGCCCCCATAAGCGCGCAAGGCCCTTTGCTGGCATTTTAGCGCCTGGCTCTGCCGGCAGGGGCCCCTGAATGCAACTCCGGCCTGCATTTCGGGTCCTTCAGATCCTTAAATCGGGCCCTTAATTGTAAGTCTCCAGGGGCCCGATGGGCCCCTCGGGATCCTAGGGGGGGGGGGGCGCACGTGCTCCTTGCGTGCCCCCCCCCCCTCTGCCTGCGCTCGAGGTAGGGATCGGCCATGTACAAACTACAAGCGAGCATTTCTGTTGGACCCTCGCCTGTCGCTAAGCGATGATATGACAAGCCCCTTGTATGGTCGCCTTTGTTGAACGGGCTGGGGAGCCTCAGTCACGTCGTACTCCATGTCGTCAGCGTGCGATCAAAAGGCGTCCTGCAGCGGCCTTGACTCACTGGCCTTGTTGTGCCTTGCCTCTCCTTTGCATCCGAGATTGTTGCCCATCACTTTGCAAGGCAAATTCGGCGCGAATGCATGCGAGCCGTGATGGTAGTTTACGGACAACTTTTGTGGATGCTGGCTTAGGCTGCGAGCCGTTGCGAGTGTTTTGTCTGCATTAGGTATACTTTGGTTAGGCTCTCTCTCAAAACATTATCGATTGGGAAACAATGTTTGGCTTCTTCCCCGTACAAGCGTAGCACAGCAAGCTCTTCATGAATGCATGAGGGGCCTACAAGCTGACAGCTTCAGGTCTGGATGGAAAGCTCCCAAATATGTGTATGTCGTTTTATCACAATTAGTCGAGCTGGTCGGCCTAAATCACAACTCTAAGACTGTAAAGCATAATTTATTACCAGAAAGCATAACAGCAGCTGAGCGTATCCTGCAAATGGAACGGGCGCGCATATTATTTTGCTCCTACGGCGTGTACATTGTGCATATGGGCAATGCGATGGAACGATTGTTTTGAACCAAGGTAAGTTGTAGTACTTGCGCATCAGGATGTGCCAGGTTATCAATGCTTGAATGTAATAAATGGACACTACTTTATCTTTATGGCTCACTCAATCGTTACTACACACCGTGACAGCCTCTTCGCCCCCGAGGAGATTACCACTTACAGTGTAATGCCATTCACATTGATACAATACTGGCCTCTCGCCGGACTAGCCACCCGCTTCGGAACACTGACACTGAATGACGTCTTGGCGACCAAGCTGTTCACCTGTCGCCAGGCACAGGTTGAAGCACGCAAACGGCAGAAAAAGGCGCTGCAGCCAGGCCGCAAATAACGGCACCTTTGCAGAGTTAGCACGAGCGTTGGTTGGTTAGCACGAACGTGCTGGGAGGCTGCTCAACAGTTGCGGTCCCGTACGAAGGCAATCACCGCTTCGCTGCCGCCGTTTGCTCTGCTCGCCCGAGTCTAAGTGAGAGCTCCATGTTTGCAATAATTGGCACTTCAGAAACGGGCATTCGTTATTGTCAGTTCAGATAGCAGCGTGATAGTCATGCGTTCTGCAACCGTTGTCTCGTGACGACCAACAGTAGCCGGGACAATTAAGGTAAATGTTCTGACAGATACGAGGTTTCGCGTCGCATTGCGGCACCCGGACCACGAACCGAGCAGCGCGACAGACACCTCTGCGGTTCGCGGCTGGCGCGTGTGCCAGCGGTACACGTGCTGGTTATTTCCGCGCCGGAGCCAGCACACCTCATTAAATAATCAGGTTACCCGGGCTCGTCGCATAAACGCTGCGGCACGAGCCCGTCCGGAAGTCTGGCTTTCGCAGCACCCGCTGCCTTTGAAGCGGCCGGCGAGGCCTCCGGTTAGGCCGGCCGCTCGCCAGCTGTCGTGCACCGCCGCCGAAATTATTATTTATTATAATTAAATTGAATTAGTGACGGGAGGGACGACAGCATGCGGACTCTTGTTTATCAAAATAATTAATAAGCTGTGTGTGACTTAAGACTTCACATAAATGATGCCATGCTTTACACCTCTGGCGTGATAGATAATGTCTCCAGGAGTTTTTCATTAAATGTTTTTTGAAAATGTTTCGAAGGAACATCAAGATCCTCAATGATCGCTTGCATTGCCTACCCGGCTGTAGTGTCTAACGTGGCGTGTTTCGTTTGTTTCAGGTCTTTTGGAAGATCCTGTAGTTGACGTCAGGGATAGCAACACGACGAGAAAAGCAAAAATGTTTTATTCCAGTTGCATGAACACATGTAAGTGTACAGAAGTCAGCTTGTGCTCCCATGCGTATTTGATAAATCAGGATAAGCTTGGATCAAAATATATTCTGCGATCTTAGGTGATCAATCTATTTCTAAATCCATGCTACGTTTTATACTTCCGCCAAGGAATCTCGTCGTCTCTTGGAACTACTTTGAAGGAGTGACTCTCAAAATAGACTGATCTGAACCAGCTATTTTCCTTTTATTGATCAGCGCCTCGAAATGTTAGTTGCGCTTCGGAACAGTGGGAGAGGTTGTGCAGCCGTCAAGCTCTTGCATAGATTAATAGAACATGCACGTCTCCTACATTCTTCTGTATTTTTTCTTGCCACAAATTGTGAGTTTAAGCTCACCCATGTAACTTTCCCTGGTTCGGCCCGCCACCATCCACTTTAATATGCCCCGCATCGTCAAGCATATTAATTCCCACATCCAAACGAATAGCCATTTTTGCCGACACTACCCTCCTTGTATATTATGTAAATTCTGTTATGATATTCCAAGCTTTATTGATTCAAACGTATGGTTTCTCCAGCATGGTACAGATGCCCCCGAGAACTATGCGAGCGCTCAAGAGATGTCGATCACAAATCAAGCGCGGAACCGACTTGTTCAGCTTACGCTGCACTTTGCTGAATGTCTGGACTTGCTGACCGGTGTCTGGCGGCTGGTCGTCAGCCCAGATCCGTCTGGAGTGCTGCCCTGTGTCTGACGTCCGCACGTGCTGACCGATGTCTGGCGGCTGGTCGTCAGCCCAGATCCGTCTGGAGTGCTGCCCTGTGTCTGACGTCCGCACGTGCTGACCGGTGTCTGGCGGCTGGTCATCAGCCCAGATCCGTCTGGAGTGCTGCCCTGTGTCTGACGTCCGCACGTGCTGACCGGTGTCTGGTGGCTGGTCGTCAGCCCAGATCCGTCTGGAGGGTGACCGGCCGCTGCGTCGCGTGCTGGACGAGCTGGGCGGCTGGCCGGTGCTGGAGCGCGGCTGGCAGGCCCCCAACACCAGCCTGGAGCGCTTGCTCGGTACCATGCGCAGCCAGTACGACCAGGGCGTCGTGCTGGAGATGTGGGTCGGGCCCGACGATCGCAACTCCTCCATCAACATCATCCAGGTGCGGCATGGCCGGCGAGCGCCGCATGACACGACCGCCTGATCAGTGAGGCCGCACTCATATCGCCGCCACCGTTCTTTTCCAATCGCAGGGGTGTAGTTTTGCAGAATAGGTTGGCGCGGGGGGGGTGCTGAACAGGAAGCAAATGGTTGAGCCTGCCCTTAAAATACCGATAAATATATTCGGCTTAAACGGGGTGAAAGCGCCTCCCCTCGCCAAGTGAGCATAAACTACCCCCTGGCCAACCGACAACAGCGTGCACTCTAATTTGTTGCGTTTCCCCAAGGCATATGTCATTGAGCCTCTTTAGGAAAAAGCAGAGCCTTGTAGATAAAAAAACATAAATAGCACCACACCACCCTTTGATCTGTACCGCGACGTAAGTGCAAGTTCTGTAAGTTCACTGTCAGTGTGAAGGTTTTAGCGCCTGCTTGTCTGTCGCCCCGACCCGGAGCCCGCCCCGTCCCAGAGTCTCGCCCTGTCCTTGAGTGAGTGCGTCCCGTCCGGGAGTCTCGCCCCGTCCCAGAGTCCGCCCCGTCCCAAAGTCTCGCCCTGGCCTTGAGTGAGTCCGTCGCGTCCGGGAGTCTCGCCCCGTCCCAGAGTCCGCCCCGTCCCAAAGTCTCGCCCTGGCCTTGAGTGAGTCCGTCGCGTACGGGATTCTCGCCCCGTCCCGGAGTCTCGCCTCGTCCTGGAGTCCGCCAGCCCTGAAGCCCGCCCCGTCCCGGAGTCATCCGCGTCCCGGAGTCAGCCCCGTTCCGGAGCCCGCCCCCAATTCTCCGCCATCCGCCCGCTGACTGTCCCCCGCCGGCTCTCGGCCGTCCGTCCGCTGACCGTCCTCCGCCGGCTCTCGGCCGTCCGTCCGCTGACCGTCCTCCGCCGGCTCTTGGCCGTCCGTCCGCTGACCGTCCCCCGCCGGCTCTCGGCCGTCCGTCCGCTGACCATCCCCGCCGGCTCCCGGCCGTCCGTCCGCTGACCGTCCGCTGACCGTCCCCGCCGGCTCTCGGCCGTCCGTCTGCTGACCGTCCTCCGCCGGCTCTCCGTCACGGCTGTCGCCGTCACGCTGGCTGCTGCAGATAGACCAGATGGTGCTGTCGCTGCCGTCGCGGGAGTACTTCGTTTCGGACCGGTACCGGCGCGAGCTGGACGCCTACCGTAGCTTCATGACGGAGGTGGCTGTGCTGATGGGCGCCGAGCCGCTGTACGCGCAGGCCGAGATGAACCGCGTGCTTCAGCTCGAGATCGCCCTCTCCAACGTACGTGAGCCGCGCACAGCCGGCTGCCGCGTGCCCGGCGTCGGCGTGAGGTGGCTGGATGCTTGCTCTTGTGTTTGTTGGCGGCGGCTGATGTTGACAAAAGTTTATATGGCAGATATGATGTGATTTGACAGTTCCCGGACTAGTGCCAAACTGGAACATGACTACGCAACGGAACATAAAGTGAAGGAAATGGTTGCAGCTGGTACTCTGAACAGGAAAGTGGGGAAAATTTTCAGATTGATGTGTGAGACGGGAGGAGGGATCATGTCCTACCGTTCGTCGCTCGGCTGGGAGATCGCACAAGTCCGTAAACTGCTAGGTGCTGGGGACGGGATGACCCCCTGCACCACTGGCCGATCAAGGAAGCCACCCTCCACCAAGGCTGCAGGCTGGGCGTGGGGGGTCCGGCCACCGACACCATCCAGAGCATCTTTCTGGCCCGTCGACACCCCTCGGTTCGCACGCGCCGCTTATGACGAGCGCCGCCTCTCGGGTGTGCCGTGTCACCCAGGCATGGTTTCCGGACCTCACGACGCTCCGGTGGCGCTGAACGCGCTCCGATCGGTAGACAAAGGACATTGGTATGCTGGTGCATGCCGCTTTTTCAAAGTGGCATGCTGCACGCGGCTTCCAGCTTGTTAGCGTCCGATAAATATTTGTCATGCCCCGGCCACGTTTTTGTCACCCGATCAAAGTGCTTTTCGCGAGTCGTAACACCGTTCGTTTTTTGCAACGTGTGACCATTACCGCTCGGTGGGCTGCGGCCAATTTGGCCTTCCAGTGCTGATTACGGCGCCCTTGGAGGCCACATTTGCCATTACAGGGGCTCTCTTACTCTGATGAGTGAGGCTGGGTGGTGAGACGGAAACGCAATTGGATTGTCTGCCCCCTCAGGCTCCCCTCCCCTCTCCACCCCTTGTAGTCATGCAGGCGTTGAGTGGGGTGCTGACTTTTGCAGAGACAGATACCCCAATACATGCGTAGAACGGCCCGCTCGAAACCGGGTAGAATAGGGTAGAACAACAAGGTAGAAAAGGATGAAATACGTGGGATGTGCGCTCTGCAAGGGATTTAGTCTGACAAAGCGCGTCGGTTGTGGATTTTTGTTTGCATTCACCGTTCTGTCCTCATTACCGCGTCAATCCCAAATGTTCCGAGAGTTGCGTGGAACTCGCGTCATGGTGCAGCCATCTTGTGTCCTCAAAGACAAAATTTTCTCGGAAAATTTCGAGGTGTTAGGGAGCCAAGCTGGCTACACACAATATGCGAGTGAGTTTACCGCGTGCGAAGAGAGTTAAGCCCCCAGGCGGTCTTGGTAGCGAAATATCCCAGGCGGTGCCGGGGAGCATCACGGGAGTGGTACGCCACAATAGGTCAGCGAAGTTGCAACGAGTTGAATGGGAGGCAAGGGACACATGGCAACTTCATAAAAGCAACGTTGCAGTCCATGGCCCTGCATTCGAGCAAAGAGAACGCAAGAACAAGGGGAAATGTTAGAATGAACAAAGAGCACTACCAACAAACGGCATTCAGTAACAAGTGCCATCGGCGCATTTTAATAAAAATATAATTAGAAACGTTTTGGTAAATTGTTTAGTGCATTTGCAGGAAACGTTATGCACATGAATAAAACAGTGCTGTTCGCCTCGTTCCCTGTGGAGAAACCAGGAGAAAGGAACAACGTCTGCATTCGTTTTGGTAGGTTTATTCCCTGCACCATCGCTGATGTGTTTTCCGACAGCAGGAACGAGGCTGCGAGCTAATGGTCCATAATCTAGATATGTGGGCCTTATTCCCCACCTCGTCACACGGCGAAGGAGAAGAAACTTGGCCCTTGTATGTCTGTGTGTATGGATGGACGCACATGTGTATATGATACATGCACGCGTGTAGGTGTACATATATGTATATATACATGCACACACACACACACACACACACACACACACACACACACACACACACACACACACACACACACACACACACACACACACACACACACACACACACACACACACACACACACACACACACACACACACACACACACACACACACACACACACACATATATATATATATATATATATATATATATATATATATATATATATATATATACGGGTGTGTGTCCGTGTTTACATTATACAAGTATTTGATCCTAAACCGCTCCATAACATGGCTCTTCCGGATTTGCCTCCAGCACGCGAAAGTAAGACACTGTAGAAAAGTTACTTGTGCATCAATAATGAAATCAGAATGGACAATTATCATCAAAATACTAAATACACTATTTGCACGATCAAGATACCAAAACCAAAGCGACTCAAAACACCAAGAAGGAGGGCAAGTAGTTGACGTTAATTTAAAATTATTGGCCTTGAGCACTCGAAAGGTGCGCTCGATGACGAATGCTGTTCTGGTGCTGTTCTTTGATTATGCTGTCCTAAAGACCGACAACAAGTCTGTTAGACCAGTGCTCTGACATCTCCCTGCTGCGCTGTCGTGGGATCCCAGCTGACCTCGGCATCAGCAGACCTTTATCGGGAATGAGACCGGGCCGAGCTCAAATGGCCAGGCGACTCCGTCCCGCCGCCTTGTAACGAGCGGCCGGCGTACGCGCCAAGAATCCGATGCTGTAGTTTCCTCCGGCCGGGGATTACGGCACATCTCGGCGGCTCCAGCGTCCACAGCCTCCACAGCCACGCCATGCCGATCCCACGGCTTACAGCCTGCTTTTGCCCGTCGCCATTCGGCGCACGGCTGCCTCACACTTCGCCGCGCGCCATCGGCTGCTGGCTGTCTGGGCCGGCTCCCCGAGGCTGCCTCACACTTCCCCATACGGCATCGGCTGCTGGCTGTCTGGGCCGGCTACCCGAGGATGCCTCACACTTCCCCGCACGCCATCGGCTGCTGGCTGTCTCACACTTCCCCGTACGCCATCGGCTGCTGGCTGTCTGGGTCCGCTCCCTGAGGCTGCCTCACACTGCCCCGTACGCTATCGGCTGCTGGCTGTCTGGGCCGGCTCCCCGAGGCTGCCTCACACTGCCCCGTACGCCATCGGCTGCTGGCTGTCTGGGCCGGCTCCCCGAGGCTGCCTCACACTGCCCCGTACGCTATCGGCTGCTGGCTGTCTGATCCGACTCCCTGAGGCTGCCTCACACTTCCCCGTACTCCATCAGCTGATGGCTGTCTCACACTTCCCCGTACACCATCAGCTGATGGCTGTCTCACACTTCCCCCTGCGCCATCGGCTGCGGGCCGTCTGATCCGGCTCCCTGAGGCTGTCTCACACTTCCTTGTACGCCATCGACTGCTGGCTGTCTCACACTTCCCAGTACGCCATCGGCTGCTGGCTGTCTGGGTCCGCTCCCTGAGGCTGCCTCACACTGCCCCGTACGCTATCGGCTGCGGGCTGTCTGATCCGGCTCCCCGAGGCTGCCTCACACTTCTCCGTACACTATCGGCTGCGGGCTGTCTGAGCCGGCTCCCCGAAGCTGCCTCACACTTCCCCGTACGCCATCGGCTGCTTGCTGTCTCACACTTCCCCGCACGGCATCGGCTGCGGGCTGTCTGAGCCGGCTCCCCGAGGCTGCCTCACGTTTCCCCGAACGCCACCGGCTACTGGCTGTCTCACACTTCCCCGTATGGCATCGTCCGCGGGCTGTCTGAGCCCGCTCCCCGGGGCCGCCTCACACTTCCCCGTACGCCATCGGCTGTTGACTGTCTCACACTCCCCCGTACGGCATCGGCTGCTGGCTGTCTAAGCCGGCTCCCCGAGGCTGCCTCACACTTCCCCGTGCGCCATCGGCTGTTGACTGTCTCACACCTCCCCGTACGGCATCGGCTGCTGGCTGTCTAAGCCGGCTCCCCGAGGCTGCCTCACACTGCCCCGTACGCTATCGGCTGCTGGCTGTCTGAGCCGGCTCCCCGAGGCTGCCTCACACTGCCCCGTACGCTATCGGCTGCTGGCTGTCTGAGCCGGCTCCCCGAGGCTGCCTCACACTTCCCCGTGCGCCATCGGCTGCTGGCTGTCTGGGCCGGCTCCCCGAGGCCGCCTCACACTTCTCCGTACGCCATCGGCAGCTGGCTGTCTGGGCCGGCTCCCCGAGGACAGCGCCGTCACTGCCGGGTGCCTGGTGCTCGGACGGCCGTCAGCGCCGGGCTCGCAGCCCGGCTCGGGCTCCGACCCGGACGGGCCCCGCGGCGGCGGCCGGCTGCTGCCGGAGGGTCGGGCGGCGTGGCTGATCTGCAGGTGCCCGTGCGGTGGCAGGGTCCAGACCCGCACAGGCGGCGCTGATGTACCCAGCTCCACCGCTTATGAGCAGATTAGGGGGCCGCCGCTGCCCTGCTTAGCATGCGAGCTTCCTGCCGTGCGCCTGTCAAATTAACGAAGTCGAAGCTTTTAGTCGTCGCGTTGCGTGGCAGATGACGATTGTACGTGGCGACCAATCCTGTCACAAACCATTTGTACGTACCATATCACTGGACTTTTAATTCCGTCAAGGTTCTGTGTGTAGGTGGCGAGTTGTGTCATCGCATTGTGTGCAATACTATTTCACGGAAGCATTGGCACTGGGCTACCAACTTAGACCCAATTTCCCCGTCGTTTCCCTTGCTTACGTAAATTTTAGCGGTATTTATGACAGAATCCTGACATCTCTCTATGTAGATCTCACGCATAGCGGTCAAGAGTAGGCAACGTGACGCAGTCGGGACGGAAGCGGCGTAGCCACCGTCTCACGCGTCTGCGACACTTCCGGTGCGACGCGCGATGGCCCGTGGCGTGAGGCCGCGTGTGCGGTAAGCCGGCCGATGGTGGCCGAGCTGATAGCCTACTCGTCGCGTGACGTCACGGACTCACTAGGCTGCCACGCCGCTGACAGGCGGGCGGCACGCGCACACGACTGGCACCTCTACCTGGGGGAGGGGAGGAGAGGGCGGGAGAGAGAGAAAGAGAGAGAGAGAGAGGGAGAGAGATGGAGAGAGAGAGAGAGACAGAGGGAGGGAGAAGGACATATATATATATATATATATATATATATATATATATATATGGTGTGTGTGTGTGTGTGTGTATATATATATATCTCTCTCTCTCTCCCTCTCTCTCTCTCTCTCTCTCTCTCTATGCTCTCTCTCTCTCTCTACTCTTCTCTTCTCTCTCTTCTCTCTCTCTCCTCTCTCTCTCTCTCTCTCTCTATCTCTCTCTCTCTCTCTCTCTCTCTCTCTCTACTCTATACATATATATCTAGTATCTCTCTCTATACATATATATCTATATCTATATCTATATATCAGCCGCGCTCTCCCACCATGGGAGACTATCGGTGAGACCCTCGGTGGCACGGTGTCCACATTACTCTCAGCGGGTCTATCGACCACTCTGCCAATAATCGGTGCGCTGACGGACGTTATCGCCACAGGACGCTTCTGCGGGATGTGTATTGATGGACGGTACGGCCAGGGCGCGGCCGTCCGGGACTGGGCGCCGGCTGACAGACTCCGCTCCTGTGCGGCAGGCGTCCGTGCCGGAGGCTGACCGCCAGGACACGGGCGCCATCTACACGCGGATGCCGCTGCACATCCTCACCAACTCCGTGCCGGGCTTCAACTGGCGCGAGTACCTGCAGAGTCTGCTGCACGTGCCCATCAACGGCAACGAGCCGGTGGTGGTGTACTCGATGCCGTACATCCGGGCCGTTGGCCAGGTGGTGATGAACACGGAGCGCAGGTCAGACTCTCGGTGTGTCAGGGCCGCAGCCGTCGAGCTCGGTGTCAGTGGTGGCGTGCATGCTTCTTGTGCGGGACTGACAACAGACGTGATTCATGTGTGATTCAGGGGCAATTAGAAACAAAGTCATCAGAAAAAGGAGCAAGCTGCGGTTCAAAACATCGCTCGCCAGGTCTAATGTTTGAAGACTTGGAACCGCATATCAACGCAAAAGGGGCTGCGAACAACATGTTATTCACTGATTGAGGAGAAACTTTACCGTGCGCCAACAAACCCATGACATTAAATGATTGATGCTTGCAAGCACTTCATCCCGTGATCAATGCAGGATTCATGGATCATCAGCCTGCACAACCAAAGTTATGTCACTGACAGCGTGATCGCAGAAACTAAACATGGCACTCATCAGCGACTGTGGTCTTCCCATGTGGATTAACTCGCTACGCCTGACCTCTGCAGCCTCTCTTTCCCCTCTACACGTCTAAATGTGAAGGCTGAGTTTAGTTCTGAATAAATCACATGAAAATGAAATTGTACAACCCGTTCGCCCTGCGACATGTCCAGTCTGCGCAGGGGGACATCTCCGAGATATTGGTCATAGCTTAAACGTATTGAAAATGGAGACCAAAAGCTTGCTTTCCCTCTGCAACTTCTTATTGCAAAATGTCAATACCCTCGCAGACAAATGGCCACGTTAGACCAGTGACATAGCTAAGGGCAAATCTTTGGGGCATGACCTCCCCTGGAGGTGGCGGGACTCCTTGGGACCCAAGTCCCCAGCATTGTCTGGGAGTTTGAGGCGTCGGTAGAGGTTCTAAAAAAAACCGGGTTGTTCAGGCATTTAGATGGGACGCGCATCTAAAACGGTCCCAAATCTTAACAAACCGGGTCCCGACAGCGACCTAAGTGGGCCCTGTGGCTAGGAGGGCCACCAGTCCCTTGCTGCGCGAAATCCACTGGCGTTGCTGTTTTTATCATTGCCAGGCTGCCAAACCACTCACTCGCTTTGAAGTGACATAAAAGTTTAAGCTTCCTACTTTGTGCTGACACTTAGATATGCGCTCATTCTGCCAAGTCCGCATTGTTATACATTATTTAAGTCATGCACCAGCTCAGTTCATTACAGTTGCGCTATTCTTAGATCTTGAAGAACATCAGAATTCAATTAGCCGTGCGTCACAAACTCCGTCATGCGCTATTCATGGTGGCGAGTGGTCATATTTGACTTATTTTATTAAAACTTCTTCAGAATAGAATTACCAAAGGAGAAGAACGTAAAAATTGTTATTTCTTTACCGTATCCCTTGTGCCTTATTTACATTGTTCGCAACAGAAGTCCGTCCACAACTGATTTTCATCAAACCACGGGGTTTAATTACCTGAATGTGTTATGCTATTAACAAAGTGGAGTGCACCAGCGCGCCAAACGCATACAGTGAACTAAACGAAGCCCTAACGCACGGTAAGGTCTAGCGTTATCTTTGTGCTGTGTCGGGGTTAATGCGTAGAATGCATTGCGAAACAAATGTTGTTCCAGTACTACAAGTTTCGTATTTGCTTTGATATAAATCACGTGTTCCAGGGTTATTGTCAATTACATAATGTGGAAGCTGGTGAAGGACACCATACAGTACATGACGCCCCCGTACCAGAAACTCCTGGCAAAGTTCAGGAAGGTAAGAATAGCAGGATACCCCACTATGACTTCACTGTTTTCGTCACGGTTGGCATGGGAGAGTACTGCTTTGATGTACTCATGCCAATATGTGTGGATGAATACTTTGGGCGGAAAGATAGGCGCCCACTGACTGGTCCTCGATGCGATGGGCACCACTAACAACATGACAATTTGACGAGCGAATTTTGCATAGATGTGTAAAAGCATGAAATGAAGCACTGCTTTTGCGAGCGTTTAACTCTGTTGAGTTTAGTTTTAAAAGTAATATTATCGCTATGTTCTGCCTTGACTTATTCATGATGTAAGAAGGGCTCTTGTGTTAATTTGTGCCCATCACTGGGATGTGTATTGCTTTTGTCTACATATGCTTCTATGAAGCGCCCGTCCCGCCAGTTTTGCTCTATGTCTGATGACGTTCGGAGCATGACGCCACTTGTCATGATTGATGACCTGCGGTGACCGTGCTGGCAGGTGCTGCTGGGTATACCGTCGGACAGGAACCGGTGGAACCGCTGTGTGGAATGGACCAACAAACACTTCGGTATGGCAGTCGGCGCACTTTTTATCAAGAAAAAGTTCAACCACGAAAGCAAGGTAGGCGCTGAAACAGTGGCTGCTGGACCGACCTAGAAACCACTTTCGAATCATCACATCACCGAGACAATGGAGATCTGTTTGTAGCGAAAGATAATACATGCAGGTAGACTAACCGACGCATTATTGCATGCATAAAACTAATATATATATATATATATATATATATATATATATATATATACATATATATATATGCATACATGAATATAGATGCATGCATATATGGAGTGATATGTTGATAGAAAGTAAGATTGAAAGATAGATAGATAGATAGATAGATAGATATATATATATATATATATATATATATATATATATATATATAGATGAATAGATAGATGGACAATAAATGGACTTCACGTGGTCATCCATCCACATGTGTATCATCTGTCTCTCTATTTTTGTTTTTCATTGATCTGCCGGGATGAGGGATGCGCAAATGAGCCGGAAGCTGAACGGCCGATGCGATGATTGTAAACCACGCATTTAAGATGAGAAGGTTTAATTGAGACCTTACAAGGCCACAAGCATCGACTTGGCCGCGACCAGTATGTGAAAGGTATCCTGGCACTAAGAGCGATAACTACAACCAACGGACCAACGGAGTGAGAGTCGTCGTTCTCTTGCCATGAGAGGGTCTTGGCTGCATCATATTTGCCTCCGTCGGCCTGACCTCTGACATCTGAAGTACAAAGCCACGAGCGTACACAGTATCCTTACAATTACACCGGTAGTGTGTTCCTGCTACACTGTCAGCGCCATCGGCGGAGCAGCGCCATCCGTGTCGATCGCACCTCCCAGTGCAGGAATCAGGAAGCCGTGCATAATCTCGTGATGATATTACGCATTCCCCCACGTTCAACGAGCGAGATAGGGTAGGGTAGGGTAAAACCGTCCAGGACCGCCTAAGACGTCTTAGAACTGAGCTCAAACGAGCAATTTACATCTCCAGTGGGCTTTTTCGTTAAGCAGACTGCGACTCAGCCCATTTGTGACGCTCCCGATGCACCTAAGGACGGCGTGCTTCTGAAGTCTTATTAATTAATGGCTTATTGTCATAAGAGGCGTACCTATGCACTTGCCCGACTGTTTTTGTGTCGCGTGTTGTTGTACCAGTGCCCGTAGCGGCCCGTTCCCGATCTAGCAGCGGTCTAATGGCACGTGGCGGCCTTTACCTTCGATAATCGACGTCAGAGGGGGCAGCGCTAACGACGGCACTGTGTAAACGTGCTGATGAATGGTCCCTCGGCGACCGGGCGGTGGTTACCGGTCAGTGGTCCGCCTGTGGCGCGCTATAAGAGGCGCAGTCAGGGGGAGGAGGACACATGTGCTGGTGACCTCCCCCTCACACAACGAACGTGGAGCTACGGAAAGAACATGACTCCAGCGCATTAAAAGGTCCTGAGCAGCAGACCTTCAATCATTCACGACAGCACAGTAAATGTATCTAAAGCATCAAAACCATTAGGGCCGCTCAGAAAGAACGAGAAAGACGTGGCGGGGCCTTCAGCGGCTGCCTCCAGGCGGGGCAAATGAGATCTGCTACCAGAGCCTTTATGTGACCCCCCCCCCCCCCCGTCCCTCTCTCCCGGTTGTATTCAGGCCCCTCCCAATGAAAATCCTGTGTGCGCGCTTGCGCGCCACACGCGGTCCCTTGTAGGCGCTTGCTGGTGGGTTTGGCAGATTGATCGCTAGATTATGTATCAACACATGCAGTTACCGTGGTGATTATCGTCGCTCAAACCCCCACGCATGTTGTAGTAGGCGGTAACTATAGCCTGGCGGCGCATTTACTTTCATGCCACTCGCGTGCCCGGGTTGACCCATGATGCGATTATTGCCGTACTAACGTGAAGTGTGATGGACTACGCCACGCTCCAAAACACGTTCTGACGACATGCTTCTTTCCGGGCAGCGGACGGCGCTGGAGATGATTCACACGCTGCGGGAGGCCTTTATCGAGCTGCTGGAGGACAACATCTGGATGGACGACGCTACGCGAGCTGTTGCTCGGGAGAAGGCCATGGCCATGAACGAGCACATTGGCTACCCGGAGTTCCTCACCAGGCCGGCCGAGCTCGACAAGGAGTTCCAGGGGGTACGTCCGACGGGCGCTCCTAGGAGTGCCAGGGGTAGGTCAGTCGGGCGCTCCAAGGAGTTCCAGGAGTAGGTCCGGCGGGCGCTCCAAGGAGTTCCAGGGGTAGATCAAGCGGGCGCTCCGAGGAGTTCCAGGGGGCAGGTCCGGCGGGCGCTCCAAGGTGTGCCAGGGGTAGGTCCGGCGGGCGCTCCAAGGAGTTCCGGGAGTAGGTCCGGCGGGCACTCCAAGGAGTTTCAGGGGTAGGTCAGGCGGGCGCTCCAAGCAGTGCCGAGGGTAGGTCAGGAGGCCCTCGTAGACAGGGGACTTCACGAACATTTAATTGGGTTTCACGTCAGTGATGTCAAGTGTCATATTGTCAAGGACGAAGAGTAAGGTCATCAGAGGTTGAATGTACTGTTCCACGATTGTATGGTGTTCTGAACTGGGATAGTCATTTTCAAGATAATTGCCGGCAGGTCACAGCTATGCTCTTTTTAAGATACCAAATTCTCTTGTCACGGAACTAAACGCACGCGAATTTGCGTTGACCATTTTGTGCCGCCTGATTGAAAGTGATCTCAATATATAGGACGTCATAGAAACGTGACACGGGCGCCCGTACCTCAGCGATCATGTTGGCCATTGGTCAAGAATGGTAGACCATCGGAATATTCGTGGCTGGAGTTTGTCAGCCCGATTCGTTGCATCGACAGACAGCAATCCGACTAGCTTCCAGTTAAAGCTGCTGATTGTATGCCTCGATGACGAACGGCGTTTTGTGATGCATAACATAGACATTTAGGCAGCACTTCTAGTTATTACAGACATGAAGGTGAGGATTAAATGATTTGAGAATAGCGCCGCAACAGAGAATGCTGCTGCAAGTGGCAAATATGTCATCACAGAAAAATATACAAAAACACGGCGAGAAAACATCAAAACACAGGCACATGCCGCGAATAAAATAAACCTAAACGAACAAACACTAGCGTTGTGTTGTGCTACTTTAAGTAGCAAAAGTGATTCCGTCGTCCGCTACAAGGGCAATTCTGGCGTGGTCCATCTGGCAGCCACTCTGTGGTCATAGGAACGTTACTTGGCGTGATCAAACAATGACATTTTGAAGAACAAATTGACTAAGCAGACTTTTTTGCAAATTAGTACCGTCTTTTGCACTGAGAAGCATACTTATATTCAGAAGTGACTTCTTTCCCTAATATCTGGTACTTTACTCAGCATCTGCAAATGTGGAACGCTCATTAAGCTGGGTCAGACATGTCAAACCGTTTCTATACATGAATTTGATGAAAACTGCATTTTTCGAATACGTTTTTATGATCTACGATCTTCCAAACATTTTGAGCGTCGTCTGGGTGACAAATTTAAAACAATTAATCGGTTTAATGCTACGCTGGTTCAGAGCAATGTATAGCAAGTAAGTACCCATGTGTATTGTTGGGGTATTGATTGTTGCAGCATCGGTAATTTTGAGTTGTTCAACTCGATTTCCTTATAGGTGAATACATGCAAGCGGTGTTGACCTTCCAGAGTTCAAGCAAGGTCATGACCTTGAATTGGCAGAAGCTCCATGCGGCATGTGAGCTACCATGCCCAAACCTATGAAGGCAGTTGCAATATGTGAATAGTACAGCCAGAGCACGCATGATCACCCTTGGTCTTCATTAGGTGATACGGCATAGGCATAGATATAATGATCAGTGTTACAATATCGTGGAAGGCTCGGCGGCCCTCTTTGACCTTGCACAGGTCGCCCAGATAGTTTTGAAGCGTTAGTTATCTGAACCAGCTCACCATATGGCGGCTCAATGCGTACCAAGCCGACTGTCGTGTATTGCGTCGTCGTAACACGGTTGATTGCCATGTGATGTATAGTGGAGGGATTTCCCCTGATAAGCTGGTTTGACCTGTGAAAGGTCAAAAGCATATGACCCGAGTTATTCTCGAGTAAAACATGTTTAAAAATATGGTGACGTGTGTCCGATGATGATAGCACACCTGTCTGCATCAGAACACAATATAAAGTTGGCATGACCTTAATGGCTTAGATTGGCATCAGAGATCATAGATCGATTAAGAAAGAAAAGAAGTACAGTTCTGGAGCTTAGGCGGTGATCAACGCATCGGTCGACCCCCGTGACTCCGCATTGTACAGTATGGCAACTACCGGTGGTGGACTAAATATCGTGCACTCAATACCGGCAAATACCTTTCGTCCCAGTTAGGATACAGCCTGTTCAAAGTCATAACCGTGACCTGAAAGGTCACGTGCTGGCCTGAAGCTACAAAACTGGATATACGCGGATAGCTTGGACGGCGAGCAGCACCTGGTGTTTTCCGCGATGCTCTCCCGTAGCCCGAGCGTTAAAAGGGGCGTGACATAAGGCCCCTCGTCGGTTTAGGACGTAAGATGGACCCGTGGGGCATGGGTATGTACATAATTCATTGTTGACGGCTAACAATTTCAGGAAGACATTTTAAAATACATTCAGTAATGCTTGTATCATTCAGATCGAGAACATGCAGTAGTGTTTTTATGACACCCAAATGTAATGTGCGCTTGCAAAGCCAAACTAGACCTTAACTTGGTTTTTGGTTGCTATTTTAATGTTGTCCCCCCGCATGAGGAACCCTGCGTACGGCCGTGTTTGTGCTCATCTGTTTAGAAGATTCGTGTGTGGATTACTATCGTTTTATTGTGTGGCACTAATCTCATGAATCTGTCCTAAGGCAGGCCATCTCATCTTCGCGACTTTATACCACATAAACATTTATTTATTAGAAAACCGTCAGACGGTTCGGAGGCATGTTTACCCCAAACAGCACCGAAATCCAAGTGTTTAGCTCATTCGTATGCTTCCCGCGCGACCTAAAGACACGTGACTGAATTACGAGCGCAACAATTCGAATTATCTGCAGCGAAACGGAACGATCAAACTTACATAAGTCATAGGCATTAACGCCACACATTTACAAGGCAACCGGGGAAGAGCGATGGCGGCGGCGAAACGACCAAGACAGTTCACTGCGGCTGCTGGCGGCGGTTGGGGCGTCCCCTGATCCGGGACTCCTCAGCCGCCGCCAGCGGTTGAGGAGCCCCTGATCCTCTGTCGGTGCGGTCCGCGCCGTGGTCGACAGTGCTCTGCCCGAGCCCTGACCGGACGGTGAGCCCCGGGAGCCGGCATCTCTGTCAGACAATCCAAACACGCTATGCATAGGAGATCGACTATCGACCAGGGAAGTGACCTTGACCCCGAGGGCGCGGTCCTGGCCGGGCCCGTCCCCCCCCCCGCGTGCTTAGCGGACGTGCGGACGGAGGTGCGTGCGTGTATGCGCACGTGCGTGCATGAGGACGTGAGTAACAGCGTGTCTGTCGGGTTAAGTGCCGGCGTGTTTTGGGACGACGGGAGGAGCGACGCCGCTGGCCGGCCAGCGAGAGCCAGGGTCGTCGTGTTCGCCCGGTCCGGCTGTGGAGGCTGGTCCAGTCCCAGGCCTCACTGCCAGCTGCCTAAACGACCACGGGAACGACTGTGAAGGGACCAGCCGAACGATCACAGCAACGACAGCCGCCGGCTCTGCTCCGAGCGGCATGCGGATGGGGGTAGTGCTGCGCGCTCGATTGAATCCAGGCAGAGGGGGGATAGAGGGGAATGAAGAAGGGAAGTTAGAGGCAGGGAGGCGAAGCCAGGGAGAGGCATTTTTTGGTAGAGGGGTGAAGAGATAGAGAGAGGGAGAGTAATAAATCGACGAGTGTGACAGTGTGGGGGGGAGAGGGAGAGAGAGAGAGAGAGAGAGAGAGAGAGAGAAGAGAGAGAGAGAAGAGAGGAGAGAGAGAGAGAGAGAGAGGAGAGAGAGAGGAGAGGAGGAGAGAGAGAGAGAGAGAGAGAGAGAGAGCGCAGGAGACTGCAGCGTCCTTGTTGCTATGCTATGCTGAAGAAGGCCAAGTCCAGGTCGACCCTGTTGCCATGGCGATCTAGGTCAAACCCTGAGGGCTTTGCCCGTTGGCTCCCACCGGAACGCGATACTGCAGACCAGGTCGGCGGCACACAGCTTCCTAGATGGTGTGCAGCATTATCAGAACCTCGCACAGCATAAACATGTTTTTTACTTATGTCCATCCAGTGTTAACGGGTCATTAGCACCTGGAGGTGGGTGTCTGTTTTGGGGACCTATGTATGTGTGGTTTACTCCGTTTGTGCCATAATTTACCGTTCGACATTGTTGTTCCACCCGTCGGCTTCATAGTATTTTATAACTTGCCACTGACTGCTTTCAGATCGATGTGAGCAACAGTTCGTTCCTGTTGAACATCTTCCGCATGCTTAAGTACAAGGCACAACGGAACCTGAGCAAGCTACGGAAGCCGGTGACAAAGAACAAGTGGTCTACCGAGCCGCCAGTGGTGGTTGTCAACGCCTTCTATAACCCTAACAAAAACGACATTGGTGAGTCGATATTTCTCATATGAGTGCAACGTTGGAAACCATGCGTATGGCTATATATTGTGTGTATGTGTGTGTGTGTGTGTGTGTGTGTGTTGTGTGTGTGTGTGTGTGTGTGTGTGTGTGTGTGTGTGTGTTGTGTGTGTGTGTGTGTGTTGTGTGTGTGTGTGTGTGTGGTTGTGTGTGTGTGTGTGTGTGTGTGTGTGTGTGTGTGTGTGTGTGTGTGTGTGTGTGTGTGTGTGTGTTGTGTGTGTGTGTGTGTGTGTGTGTGTGTGGCGCGTGCGTATGCATGTGCGTATGTGTGTGCATGCATGCGTGCGTCCGTGTGTCCGTGCATACATGTGTATACGTGTGTGCTAGTACTCTCAAGGCTTTATCGTCTCCGCATCGTATGACATCAGCGATCAGGATAAAGTGACAGACTGTCTGATGTATTGACTTTCGAACATCATATCAGTGTATTTGTCATCATAATAGCGCCATAATTATGCATTATCAGCTACAAGGCATGCATGGTGAACTCTTAGTTAGTAACAACAAATGATGCAAGCATAATGATAATATCACTTTTCCCTTTGTACACCACATAACCGCTCGCTTCTCGAGTCCTCAACTCTTGTGATTTCGCTGCTCGGCTCGAGCAGTCGTGTTTCCATGTCTCCTCACTGGACAGTGCCGCACTGCCTGCGTGATCCGCGTGCAGTGGCGCCGCCCTGCCTCCCGACGCCTGACCTGGCAATGGCGCTTTGTTCCAGTCTTCCCCGCTGGTATCCTACAGCCGCTATTCTACAGCCAGTATTTCCCGAAGTCACTCAACTACGGTGGAATCGGCGTCGTCATAGGACACGAGATCACACATGGTTTTGACGACAAAGGTATCCACCTCGGTCCGTTTGGTTGCTTACCTCACTTCGCTGGAGCTAAGATGGAATATGCTAGGCTGAGCTAAACTGAGCTGAGATGAGCTGATCTGTGATGACGTGAGCTGAGCAAAGCTAAAATAGGCAGATCCGAACTGAACTAAGTAGGAAGACCAAATGTACCGACAGGTATATTTAGTCCTTTAGTCCAGGACCTTGACCTATCAGTAACTGCGTTACTTAACACGCGCTCGAGTGGGGCGGGTCAACTTGTCTCCCCAAAGGTTTTTCCAAAATGGTTTCCGAACGGTGCAGCGTAGTCGCGCCAAATTTTGCGTAGCTGTAGACAATTTAATAGCGGATCGTTCGGCATAACCAATTTAGATGCACCTTGTAAGTTCGCTGAGCTATGGCAGGTCAAAGTCAGGCCATGGTTTCAGCGAAGACAATGTCTAGGGAATCGTTCATTCTGATACAACAACGAAGTGTTTGACGGAGCCATACATCTCTGAGATGCTTTCTTAGGCACCACAAATATTGAATGAGCAAATTGCATTGACCAAAGGTCAGGTATAAAGGTCAGAACAAGGTCAAAAGCAACCTGATTTATTACTCTAGGACTTGCTGTATGGGATAGTTTCTGGTGCGTATTTCAATTTATTGATGACAGGAACCGCATTATATATCTTCCATTGACTTCTTGGAGGTCATAACAGGTCATTGATCTAAGATGACCCGGGTCGACATTTTGTTTTAGGAACCTACTGCCTAGCGTAATTTTTGTCGCTTATTCAAATGCAAAACTGAGAGCAGTCTTGTATGATTTTGGTCACCATGACCTTCAAAAGGTCAAACAAGGTCACTAACCTCCAATGGGCTTGTGATCCTTTTCTTAGATACAGTGTTCTATGTTCTGGGGGCACTTCGGAGACCAATCTGGAATTTTACCTTGTTTGACCTTATTTGACCTGAAGATCATGATCTAGGGAGCTGAAACGTAAGTTCAAATACAGGTCAAGACACCCTGTAAATTTGGTGACTCTAGCCTTCTAAGTTCCCGAGATCTTAGTGAGGTCAAATTGACCGCCCCCACTCGAGCGAAGGGTATCTAGCCGGCCACCCGGGCGCGTGTTAAACTACCTGTTCAATGAACTGCGTTACTTGGGCGGACAACCCCGATGAGTGTTACATGTAGTGTGCTTTTACACAGCTGGCACGACCATTTGTATGCAGTGCACGCACAGAGTGGCTCTCTTCTGACAACCACTTCTTAGGAGTGTTTCCTCACACGGGCCATTTTGTGGAGTGATCTCCACCGGAGGACTTTCTGAAAGGATGTTTGCTCTCCGCTGGTGAGCTCGCGCTCTCGGGACCCTCTTCTGCGGTGAAGGAGACGCCCTCGGCCGTCGCTGCCCGTAGGACGACAGTTCGACAAGAACGGCAATTTGAAGCAGTGGTGGGACAACGCGACCATTCAGGCGTTCCAGAAGCAGACTGAGTGCATAGTGAAGCAGTACTCATCGTACCGGCTGGAGCAGATCGGCCGCCACGTCAACGGCAAGATGACCCGCGGAGAGAACATCGCCGACAACGGCGGCCTCAAGCAGGCCTTCAGGGTGGGTCATGTGTGACAGTGGCGGGCTCAAGCAAGCCTTCAGGGTGGGTCACGTGTGACAGCGGCGGCCTCAAGCAGGCCTTCAGAGTGGGTCATGTGTGACAGCGGCGGCCTCAAGCAAGCCTTGGGGGTGGGTCGCGTGTGATAGCGACCGCCTCAAGCAGGCCATGGGGCTGGGTCACGTGTGACAGCGACGGCCTCAAGCAGGCCTTGGGGGTAGGTCACGTGTGACATTGGCGGTCTCAAGCAGGCTTAGAGGGTGGGTCTCGAGGGCCCACATGATTGATTCACAGCACATGGTGATCACGAGTGATGCAGGTAGGCAAACGAGAAGTCATGATATTTCTCTGATGATGTTTTAAGTGGTATCTCGTTTTTAAATGAAGAGCTGCAAATTTGTGTTTCAGTCACTGAATAATGTTTGTTGGTCTTTCCGGGATATTTGTTGTCGGGTAGTGACCATGTTAAGCTTACAAAATTAATTCACTGATGGCTACATCAACTATGTTCACGTGGCCGTAGTTTGGCATTATCGGCAAACTTCATGCTCTTGATTGCCAAAAATGCCAGGAACATCTATGACTTCATACAACGTTCGGATGGGGTGCCAGGAACGTCTTGATTTCAAACAACTTTCAGATAGGGGTTGTTTGTATCGAACCCGAGTTAACAAACAGGCTTTACATACCTCTATCTGTTCTGCATTTGATTACCTGTATCCGACATCGAACTAAAAAAGTACGAATTTTGCTTCTCGAAACACATAGTCTTCATTTTTTGACCATCCAAGAACGTTGCCCATGTCCAGAACTCACATCGATAAAACATGGCCTCAAAGAGCTTTTTACCGATGTCTTTTTCTCACCGTTACTGCAACAAAACCATGTCGGACGCGTATGTCGGATCGTTGCTCCAGTCGGCAGGATACATGACGGTCCTGATGACTAGTGTTCCCTCAGCGACCTGCCGAGCCGGGCCGGCCATCCGTTCTGATCACCGCGGTGGAACAGAGGCCATTAGCTGTTGTTCTGAGCTGGCGCCATTTGTTATAGCTGTCCGCTCTCGTGGCAGGCAGCCACTGAAGGGCTATTTTGGGACCGTTCATAATGTACCCGGACATAGCGCTAATGTGCAAAGGTCAGTGAACCCGCAAAAATGTGCTGCAAGCCACGACTCATTTGCCACACGCAGTAGATAATTATGACCAGCTTTGTGGGCACCAATAATTCCATGAAGAATGCTAATGAGGTGGTTATGACAAGGGCAGCAATCAGTGCGGTTTCCGATGTCAAAACACCAACGCTGATCTTTCTGGGCAAATGAGCGCTGCTTAAACATATCCGACGTGTTGTTAACCAGTGGTTTGCCTGCAAGCGTGCTGAGTTGTTAATGACCACCAGTCGTGCCGGAGGTCAGCAAGCTTATTCGTAGAGTGCTGAAGCTTGTAAGGTCCCCGTCAGCAGTCAGTAACGCTTCACTTCCATATGTGTTATTCGACTTTAGGCTGCATCGTAAATTTGTTATCGCCAGACATGGTTGAGCTGCGTCGGTACGGTCAGCTTGCTGGCAGGCGCGCGCCCCCCGCTTCCCCTGCCCCGACAGAGTGGTCCCGCCCTGACGCTCCTGCTCCTGTTTCTGCCCCCCCCCCCCCCCCCGTAGGCGTACCGCAAGTGGGTGACGAGGAACGGCGAGGAGGACCTGCTGCCTGGCATTGATCTGACGCACGACCAACTCTTCTTCCTCAACTACGCGCAAATTTGGTGCGGCTCGATGCGACCCGAGGACGCCGAGACAAAGATCATGTCGTCGGTGCACGCGCCCGGCCCCATCCGTATCTTGGGGCCGCTCTCCAACTCGGAAGACTTCGCCCGCTCCTACCGCTGCCCGGTCGGCAGCCGCATGAACCCCAGCCACAAGTGCACCGTGTGGTGAGAGGCGCGGCGGCCGGGCGGTCTCGCCGCCGGCGCGCGGGACTCCCACGGGAGCTTGGTGACTCCTGAAGGAAGTGGTGGTGATGCCTGCTGGAGCGTGGTTCCTCCTGCTGAAAGTGGCGACTCCTGTTGGAGTGCGGTTACTCCTACTGAACTGCGTTGTCTCCCATGGCATGTGTTGACTACTGGAGCGTTTTGATCCCGATTTCAGTGATTCGATCCTTGCTGGAATGCGTTGACACATGCAGGAGTGCTTTGACTCCCCTTGGAGCACGGTGCCGTCTGCCGGAGCTCGGGTAACGACTTGTGGGGGCCGGGGTGACACCTGCCGGGGCGCAATGAGCTCAGCTGGAGCTCAGTCACTTCTGTTGGAAAGCTGCTGCAGGTTTCGTGATGTCATTTGTGAAGGTTGGCTAAAACTCTGCCGCGCTTCGTTTCTGTCAAGATCTGCCTGATCCGTACGGAACACAACTGCTGAGCGCGCAGTGAGCCAGTGGTCCGAGGTCGCGTAGCTGCTGAGCGCACAGTGGACCAGTCGCGCCAGGTCGCGCAGCTGCTGGGCGCACAGTGAGCCAGTCGCGCCAGGTCGGGCCGAAGCTTAACGCTCAGTGGGCCAGTCATGGGAGTCGGACAGCTGCTGGGCGCACAGTGAACCAGTCGCGTCGGGCGCCGGTTCGAACAGCTGCAGAGCGCACGTGAAGCAGCTGTGCCGGTTCAGGTGGCTGCTGAGCGCACAGTGGACCAGTCGTGCCGGCCGGGCCGGTGCTGAGCGCACAGTGGGCCTGTCGGCCTGCGATGGCCGGCTTCAGTGCAGATGGTGCCCTCGTCTTCTGTGTTCCTCGGCCGCCACCCGCAGTCACAAGCTGTGACGGGCAACGCACGCCGGTTCGAAGGGAGCCACGCCGAGTTCAAAACTATGGGACAATCGTGCGCATGGGGCCTTGTGTGTGTAACTGTACAGACGTGCGAGAGTGAGAGGCGGGTCGGAATTACTTTGGCAGTTGGTACGTCGATGTTCCGAACCATAAGGTTTATTTTTCTAGGATAACGCTGAAGGATTGACAGGGCATACTCGAGCAGCCTTGGATCATGCCAAACCAAAACATGTTCAGTGAGATTGGCCATGGTCGCCATCTGTTGCAGTGCATTTTTATTTTGTCGTCCTGTTCAAAGTCCGCATGACTTGATGTGCAACTTCACAGCAGTATGTATTGGTAATTGTTTTATCTGTAAACTGCATCTTACAAGCAACGAAAGGTAGCAATGCGTGCTAGATTACCGCATCCACTCGCAAGTGCAAGGGTACAATGTGTGTATTATTGTTTGGATTGCCATAATTATTGCAGGACGTGAGTAACCATGTATGTTGATGTTTTGTGTATACTAGCTTTCATGGTTACCTGGTTTGAAGATAAATTACAGAAAGCTGTTCAACCTCGCCTCCAAGTCTGACCATACAATTGCCATCATGCGGTTGAAAGGTATGTTTTAACATACTTTTTGATGTTTCGCAACGTCATCATCACTGAGCTGTTTAAATAAATTTACCTTTACAGTAGGACAGTGAGAGGTCTCAGGAACGGTGTCATCTGAGCATGTGAAGGTACAGTCGGTTAACATATAAAGCAGTGGTAATATTGTGCCGTTTTTCCTACACTCATTGAGCGGTTCTTTTACGCAGGGACGGATACCACCCTTTGATAAGTTCTGCATAGTGCAAGGCGGTATGGTATACATAGATGCTTTTCGCTATGTACACCATAGTGGATAGCATTCGAACAGGGGGGGGGGGGAGGGTGAAACTCAGCCAGAAGGCGGGTAGAACGCTTGGGGAACCAGCTGGTGTGGTGAGCGAGGTTGCGCAATGCCTAAAGAGACTGCTGAGTCAACCGTGGACAAAACGGCGGAGGGAAAAGGCAAGTGTAGTATTTGTGTGTACCAGTTTGGAGGCTTGAGACAAAATGTATCTGTAAAAGCGAAATTGCCATTCTCATTTTGATGCGCGCTGAGTTGCTCTTTACATCCCAGAGTATGGCGTAGCTACTCTAACAATATTGTCCTTCCCAGGTCTGACATGTACTTACACTTGGGCTGGTGTTATATATATATATATATATATATATATTTATATATATATACATGCATATATATACACATATGGTATCTTATTTCATACCAGGGGTAAAACTTTGTATGTCTTTGGGGGGCCATGCCCCATGTCGAGCTGCCCCCCCCCCCCCCCCCAATATTGGGTTGAGCCCCCGCTGACTTTGGCCGGGCCTTCACAATGTGGAATTTGGCTCCCTATACCCGATCAGTTATTTAAAGTGAATATTAGTTGAGATGTCATAGGGACTGACAGTTTGGTTTTAAAGGTAGACACTCATGTAGCTCATTGCATAATACATTGGCAAACGAAACCGGCAAAAAGTCGCATTTTACAAGTTGCTAATCTCGAAGTGAATGCTTGGGCGCCATTGGAGTCTTACGACGCTTTTGAGACGCCATGGCGACGCCTGACTCTCAGCGAGGCAGACAGGGTTTTGAGACGCTATGGCGACGCCTGCCTCTCATCGAGGCAGACAGGGTTTTGAGACGCTATGGCGACGCCTGCCTCTCATCGAGGCAGACAGGGTTTTGAGATGACATGGTGACGCCTGCCTCTCATCGAGGCAGATAAGGTTTTGGGACGATATGGCGACGCCTGCCTCTCATCGAGGCAGACAGGGTTTTGAGATGATATGGCGACGCCTGCCTCTCATCGAGGCAGACAGGGTTTTGAGATGATATGGCGACGCCTGCCTCTCATCGAGGCAGACAGGGTTTTGAGACGATATGGCGACGCCTGCCTCTCATCGAGGCAGACAGGGTTTTGAGACGATATGGCGACGCCTGCCTCTCATCGAGGCGGACAGGGTTTTGAGACGATATGGCGACGCCTGCCTCTCATCGAGGCAGACAGGGTTTTGAGACGCTATGGCGACGCCTGCCTCTCATCGAGGCAGACAGGGTTTTGAGACGATATGGCGACGCCTGCCTCTCATCGGGGCAGACAGGGTTTTGAGACGATATGGCGACGCCTGCCTCTCATCGAGGCAGACAGGGCGGACGCCGCGGGAACCAAACCCCAGAATGAGTGGTCAGACGCAAACGCAACAACTTGCACACGCTGTCTAACTCGTAATGCCACTCTAGTGACATGTTCTGACGCAAATGCTGAAAGTTTGGTGGTAGCAGAAATCGTTGAAACTATCAAAATTTCCGGTTTTTTTGACGCGATATTCTTTCTTGAATGAAAACATGCGGCCAGCTCCTTGGATGATGTGATGCAATTTGTATCGTCAACATCAAGATATTCAAGTATTGTGCTGAATGTTTGGAGTATGTTAAAGGAGTACGATTAAAACAAATATTACTGAGGAATGTGACACGAGCGATGCACACACAACATGCGTTCCAGATACCAAAACAAGGATATTAGGTATACTGCGCCCCCCGGCACCTCAAATCGTTCTGTGTGTGTGTGTGTGTGTGTGTGTGTGTGTGTGTGTGTGTGTGTGTGTGTGTGTGTGTGTGTGTGTGTGTGTGTGTGTGTGTGTGTGTGTGTGTGTGTGTGTGTGTGTGTGTGTGTGTGTGTGTGTGTGTGTGTGTGTGTCATTGGGGCTTTACGACGCGCTCAGCTGCTGAGGCTATATGATGTCACCTGCCTCTCACCCTGGCAGGAAGGGCGGGCACCGCGGGGAATCGAACCCCGTACCTCGGGTTTCCCAGACGCGCAGTAGACACGTTAACCACTACACTACCGGCACCCCCGCAAATCGTTCAAATCGTTCTGTATTCGAACTTGAGGATAATTGTGGTATAACATACAGGCACCTTGCAAAAAAGGAGGTCTAGTAATATGTATCATAAATAAAACACAATGTGTAATGCGTTCATATTTTGTACACAACGCCTACGTATTTCATATCTTTTCAGCATGTACAACGCCACGAACTCATGATGTGATGGCGTAATCTCGATTGCTAGTGCTTCTGTAATTACTCATTTCGTTGAGAGAATCTAAATTAAAATCGCACAGGTGGATGTTCAAGGCAAGGAGCTGAAGGCCCCTTTCATCCCAGCCCAGGGCACCCAGCAACTGCTATTCTGGCGATGTGGGGACCACGGTGCCCTGGTCGATCCGGAGTTCTCCAGAGGGATACATGATGCGCCGGTCCGATCCATGATGCGACAGACACTCTGACCTGGGCAGCTGGCACAGGATCGACGCAGCGACACGTCAGTGACGCAAAATGATTCCTTACCGGAACAAAGAGTCCATTGCTTATTTGGCAGCGAGACACCAATTCGGTTTATCAGCCATTGCCTCCTGGTTGAAACGGCGCGGGGTCCTCGTTCAACCCCACTACCTCTAATTAGCACAGGTCGCCGTCTCATTGTGAGTGCGAACCGTTGCATCATCACTCCTCATGTCTCCTGTCATTGTCAAGATGGCCCTGACCAACGCAAGAGGCCTTTCGATCTTTGAGGTCCGGCTCCATTCCCTGTTCAGAGAATGTGTCAATGGCCGACTTTGGGCTTATTGGCGACACGCGGCTCCTTGTTGGAATTTATGAGCCTCTGATCGGCTCAAGAGCTCGACCAATGCACGATCTTTCGGATTAGCATTTGCAAGCCCGGCCTTGCCCCAGCTTGGGAAAGAGGCCCCTGTGCCAAGACCGGCGCGGGACCGAGTGTTCGGTAATACCTACTGACTGAGATTCCTTCATCTGCCGGCTTGCCCTTCGGACCCTTCAATCGGACCCTTGATCTTCATCCCCTCGGAGCTCAAGGCCTCCTCGAGACCATCGGGACCTGAAGACCTACGGTAGTTCACGTGTTCTTGTCCCACAGATAGTGGCGCGCTTGGTTGCTCGTAAAAATAGAAAGGGCAATTTTTGATGTCCTCTGGAGTTTGACACCAGTTGGAATTAAAGGGTTTGGAAGACTTCGTGGGAC